AGACATTTAGGAGAAGGAATTTGACATATATACAGTATCTGTGTTATTGCTTCTTTTTAATGTATGTTTTCAGTATACTTCACACATGGGAAATATGAGTCAAGAGTGACCTACAGTAGTACAGGCAGAAACTACTAAAGGTAAAAGAAAAAATAACAAACAAAACAAGAAGCGATTAAATACCAACAGAAGCTGTACTGCATAATCACAGTTGGAATTGTGCCACAGAGTGCAAAATAAAACAGTGGGCAGCCTAACTTTAGTTTCCTGTACTTTAGTTAATATATTAAGTAGTATTAAATAATTTTGTGTAATCTTTAGTTTATATTTGGTTACTCTTTTGGGACCTTAATTAAATAAAGTGAAGAATTTAATTTTAATCCAAACAGATCTTGAATATTTCTTTGACTAATCCTCAGAAGCAAAGCTTCTAAATTTTATTTTAATTTAGAAGACAACAGTATTATTTTGCTAATGAATTGAATGCTTTTGAAATGAAACCTTTTGATGACCTTTTCGTTTTAGTCTTGTTATGTTGCAAATTTGTCAAACTTCATTAAAGTGTCTTCATTGAAAAAAGACTAAACATTTGGCTTTATATCTTTTATTTAGATTTTTCACTTTATCTCATTTACTATCATGGAGGAGTTGAAATACTCTCACTAAATATGAAATTAATGGCAGGCATTGACCATACTAAAAATTTTAGTTCTTGAAGTCAGAGACTGAATTTTTTAGGTGCTCAGCAGAATGCTCTGTCTTTGCACTACAAGCAGGGGGACTTACGGAGTTGAGACACTCTTGGGAAATTATAAAGTGCTTCTGTTCTTTGATTTTTTGGACCTTTTTTGACTGAAGATTGCTAAACCAAAGTTCTGTTTCTCTATGAATCTTCAACTGACTAAACAGCTGGATATGTGAGATCCATTCAAATTTTCAAATGCTTTACTTCTAGTTTCAGACTTGTTCATCATTGTCTGTGATGAATTTTCAGCAAACTCATCTTGGTTTTGTGACTGATTATCAGAGCTGATTGACTTTCATCTTCTAGCTATGCCAGAATTTTCTAGGTGTTCTGAAAGAGTGAAGCAGTCCTGTGAAACATTAGCTTATCTTCAACTTCTCTAGCACTTACGTCAAACTTTCCTAAGGGTCCAAGAGGCTTGAAGTCATATTCATCCCTGAATGTAGCTTTGATTTCTTTAACTTTTTCCTGAGTCTGTCTATCTTCAGATCTGGAAGACTGCCAAAATGTATTTATGCTTTACCTTGACTTGTGTTTAGTTAAGATGGGAGTCATTTCTCCTGTAATTAGACGTATGAATTTGAAGCTTTCTTGTCAATTCCTGGGCCATGAAAAATGAAAGTAGAAAGACTCTGCTACCTAATGTTTCCAAGTTTCTCACCATTAAGTCATCATCAAAAATTTGAAAATTGAGTTTATTTGATAAGCATTCTCTGTTTAGTGGATTGTGATGCTGCTGTTGTTCTTTGTCCCTTGCAGAATCCAACATGGTTTTTCTTTTGTTTATTTGCTTGTGTGCTGGGAATCTTCTTGTTGTTTGTCTTTTCTGTGTTATCTAGTTAACAAACTTGTGTCACAGATGACTAGGAGTTAGCTACATCCCTTTAAGGGTCATAATGTTTGTTTAAGAAATCATATCAGTAATTGCAAAATAATAATTGGAGCAGAATTCATGGAACTACTTTAATGATTCAGAAGATATTTTACTGTTTGGTAAGTGATTTTAAAAAGGAACATGGAAGCAAAGTTCATTGAGTTAATATTTAACTTTTCAAACAGTAGCTCATAATATTCAAGAGTTTCTATGCTAGCATTGGTCAGCTTCAGTTCAAGAGTTTCATATACCCAAACAGGCTAACTTTTAAAAATTAGTACTAGTTTTAACATATATTTATAGATTTGTGTTTTTTCAGGCTTGTAGTGCAATTGGATTTGAAAATTAGAAGTTTTTAAAAAGGGTTTCCCTTAACCAATTTTTAAAAACCTCCTAATTTGCACGGATGAATTTTGAATGTACAAGTACATTCATGTGTGTAAGAATTAATGTGTTTTTCTACTTTCATGTTAGTCAGTATTCTAGGTTAATTTACCATCCAGAAGCGCTTACTAAAGTGCTAGCAGTATATATACTGTATATTTTTTGCCTCTGTAATACTACGTAAAGTATTTGTTTTATATGTTGTTAATTTTCTACTTCACCTGCTATTCATAGCCTTGACAAGAAACTGAAGTAATGTGTTGAGTACAAAGAACAGAGAATCATAATCCCATGTTGAAATATTTTTAAGGTTTTTTTTGTTTGTTTGTTTGTTTTTTTTAAATCATACTATACTATTGCTCATATGTATACTAAGATGTGATGGATTTGTGTTTGCAAACTCTGCTAGGCTGTGACATCACGCAGTATAAGTTTTGTTATCTTTGTTCAGGTGAAGCTAAGTTGACTCTTACTGTATTTAGCTGCAAGAAGCAATTGTGTTATCAAGAGAAGAATTGGGCTATGTCAAACTGTAGCCTATAGCTCCTAATAAGGCCAACTAACTGCAGTTGAAATCATTATCACACACACATTAAGGATCTTGATGTATTAATCCTGCAGTGAAAAAACATCTAGAAAGTTTTGCTGGCAAGCAATTACAGGCTGTACATGCACATTTAGCTGCTTCTGCCAGCAAAGTGTAATGTAGGGTAGGATGGATATCCAAGCAGGAGAATTTATAAAAATATGATGATGTGTCCAGACAGTTTTGTGTGCATTGACACAATTTCATTCTTTCTAAAATGCACAAAATTCTTACAAAGAATATATCCAAATATTGTATTTATATCTCCAGTTATTCATTATTCATCAGTAGGTGTATGTGTGGCATGGATTATTCATGTCATATAAAGCTCAGAAGCCTCTGGAACACTAAAATTAATGAGAATAACAAGAATTTGGAATTCTCTGTGATATAGTATACTTGCAATTGTGAGCTAAAACTGATTAAAATTACAGTATGATTAAAAACCTTCCAAAAAGTTACCATTCTTTTATTTATAAATCATCAGAAAATTAACTTGATTCTTAAGGATGTATATAATCCCAAATGGTAGTGTAATACCATGATTTATGAAGGACATGCCCTTTGTTTTATTTTGAATGATAGATATACAATAGAGTATAACTAGAAAGTAATTACAATAATGTCTTTTATGCATCTCACTTTGAAAATATTTAAGAATGTAGTTAAAACACTACAGTTGTAAAAAGAATGAGTTGTATATTCACCAATTATCTAACTACCCACTATTTAATTTGAGAACCACATAGTAGCTACTGTCCAGCCTTGCATGTTGTTAGCAATTAATGAGATAATAAAGATCTTGCACACTTGGTGTTGGGAGTTACAACTGAAGGAAAAATCATTCAACATGTTGCTTTATTCTTAGATTTTAACTCTAATTGTTCAGCATACCCACCATCTGTCTGAGTGATTCATGCCTCTGGCTGTACTTTGCTGAAGTAAAGATTTAGGACAGTCGGAATACTCTTTAACAAAAATGTGAAGTGTTATGAAGTGAAAAATGAGATGAGCTTATGAGTTATCCATCCCTTTGTACACCTTCTCCTTTACATTTTTATGTATTTCATTGTATTGTATTTCATTGAACATACTGTTCAAATTGTTTAGGCAAATATTAGTTGACTTGAAATAGTCTACTGTCCATGCCACACATCAGAAATTATCAGAAACTTAAATTTATGGATATATCTATTGCTGAGTATAAATAGAAGTTACAGATTGGCTGTTGGATGTTATGGCTAATGAAGGAGCCAACATTTAATTTCTTTTCTGTTGCATAATATAGAATCATAGAATCATTTAGGTTGGAAAAGAGCCTTAAGATCATCAAGTCCAACTGTAAAGCTAACACTGGCAAGTCCACCCCTAAACCATGTCCCTAAGTGCCACATCTACACATCTTTTAAATACCTCCAGAATGGTGACTTCACCACTTCCCTGGGCAGCCTGTTCCAATGCTTGACAACCCTTTCTGTAAAGAATTGTTTCCTAATATCCAATCTAAACCTTCCCTTGTGCAACTTGAGGCTGTTTCCTCTCCTCCTATCACTTTTTACTTGGGAAAAGAGACCAACGCCTACCTCGCTACAACCTCCTTTCAGATAGTTGTAGAGAGCGATAAGGTCTGCCCTGAGCCTCCTTTTTTCCAGGCTAAACACCCCCAGTTCCCTCAGCTGCTCCTCACTGGTCTTGTTCTCTAGACCCTTCACCAGTTTCATTGCTGGTTGCTTATAATAAATTTATTATTATAATATTATTATATGTATTTTGAATTTAATATGAACCCTTATGATTTCGGTTGGGGTTTTTTACAGGACGATATCATCTAAAGATTCCACTCAATTTCACAGTCTGTTGTGCTTGGTAAAATATCAGTATGAAATACAAAAAATACAGGGGCAGCTGGAAACTCTACTTTGCCATTTTAAGTCAGAGCTTGAAAATTTTAGGACATGTAAATATCTTTTGTCTGACTGCCATCTCCAGGCTATTGTCTAGAACAACTAATCCAATGTAGGCTTCATACCTGTTAGCACATCTCTTACAGATCTGTAGTTTTGTTCAGCTCATTAGGTCACTTATCGTTCCCACAATTTACACTCATTTGGTATATTTTCTCTTTGTTTTCTTCTAAGAGTTTTGGTTTGTGTTTAAGGTTTAGTCCATTCAAAAGAAAGGCCTCTTGTAATAACAACAGGGTCTCTGTTGAAGATGACATGCCTGTCTGGCTTGTACTATGTTAATTCTGTTCTCAAAGAGGTGAATTTGAGGTAGCAGCAGTATAAAAACATGTCTTTCGATGTTTTTACCAGCACCTTAACATTTTGCTGTTAGTTATAATTAAACTCAGTCTTAATTTGTATGCTTATAATAGCTGAATGTCCTAATTCTTTCTTTTATTGCATCAGGCTATGTTTGATGCTTTGTCTGATCTCCCTGAGTGGTATGGTATAAAAGAAATGCAAGCAAATTGGATAGGTGACTGCGTTGGATGCTTTCTTGACTTTTTGATAAAAGTAAGTCAGAATTTTCAATGCTTCTATCTTGGTTGGGCTAACCACAACCTCTGAAATGCGTGTTGGGAATGGATTTTCAGATCTGAAAAAGCTTGAAACCTACTGAAAGATATTATTGTATGTTCATGCCCAGACCAGTACAGATTCCTGAAGAACACCACTTGTGGGTTGAAGAGATACTCCCTGCTGTCCTCCTTTGGGAGGGGTTTGTGTGTTCAGGTGCAACATTGGCTGCAAATTGGCTGTGTGTATTTATGCCAAAATACATGCCAGCTAATAAGCATTCCTGAAAGCCAGGACATTGAGGGGAGCAGTGCCAGGAGCAGTACCAAGTGGCACTGCACAAGTCAGCTGAGATCTAGGTGGACTTTTGCTCCTACTTGCACAGCACGTTCTCTGTCAGACCCAGGCTGACCTCAGGCAAGCCACTTTTCTTGCATTTGTCCATTACTTCATTTACTACAAACAGTAATTAAAATAAAGAAAACTACACAATTAGGTAGTGATGGATCTACAGAGAAGTCTAGGTAGAAAGAAATGAGAGGAATGAAAAAGAAACCTTAAGAAAGTTATAATTATCTACAGAAGGACTTCAGATTTTGCCATTTTTCTCAGGAGATGCCAAAGGTTTCTTAAATATGGTCGTGACAGAAGACATTTTCAGAGACCCTGATGGAATTTCAGCCCTTGTGCTTCAAAGCTTTATTGTGCTTATTTTCTCTGGTATAACATTTTAAAAGTGACTTCTTATTTTAAATTACTGAAATTTTGGGAACTTCAAATTGAGACAGCTTAAACTTTCTTAATACCTGTGAATTGCACACTGATAAAGGTGCATTTTTGTATTTAAGTTGTTTTTATCGTTTGTTTCTGAAAATATATATCAATACCTGTTGTAGAAAAATCTCCTTCTAAGACCCACATACACTCCACAGTTAAGTGACCTAAAATATAAAGCCTGTTGATAGTGCCAAGTGGTATTTCATATGCATCTTCTAAGTTTATTACTCATATGTCATGTGCAGTTGTTTTAATGTTGTGCCACAGTTTATTATTTTATTCCTGTACGTAAGTTGCAGCATTGACTTCATCACAGAAGTTTGGTGGAAAGCCTGGTAGCTGAAAAAATCTTAAATTCTCTTTAGATTTCAGAGGTAACTTCTCATTTCTGTTTCTTGGAAACAGAGCATGCTTATTAAAAGTGAATAGAAGGATTCCAGGTTACTTAACCAAGGATTGAATCTAGCTCGGTAGCACAATGTAGTATTACATATGATTTTAGAAAAATGTTTAAATAGGTATGTTTGGATAAACTGAGTCAAGACTGCAAAGCAATTTTCTCAAGGTCTTACAAGACAATTTTGTCAAAATTTGATTCTGGAAACTTCCTGTAGTGTGAATATGTCTGGTTTTGATATTCAGAACTGTGTGTTTCTACAGGATGATGTAGATTTGTTAGTTGCATAAAAAGGAAGGGGAATCTAAACCCACTGCACTTCCAATGGGGATTTTTCTGCTCTTTTTCAGGTTAATGGTAAAGTAACAGGAGAGAAGCTAGCGGCTTACACCTATACGCCTGAAGCCATTTATGGAGCTTCCCATTTATATATTTTACCGACTCACAGACTGCTGCATGGGGATAGCAGTCTCAAGGAAGTCTTTCAGAGGGAGTTCATCCCAGGGAAAGGTGATATTTTTCTCGTACTACATTTTGTTGTAGAAGAGTAACAATTTTAGGGAATGATATTCAGAATGTGTGTCAAGTGGAGCAAGAGCTGGTCCTGTTGAGAGGGAACAGATCTTTTCGTTCTTGGTATATGTCAAACAGTAGCACATCAGCCTGTCCTTGCTTCAGATGTTGTAAGAGCAGCTACGTTAGAATTCTTCCTTTCATAATGGCTGTAACACTTCATAGTATACAAAAGCAATGGAACAGATTCTTGTTTCCTCATTTACTAGAAGTGAATAGTCCAACTCTGCTATGTCAGACCATAGGAAAGTCTTATGGCTAAAGGATAATTTGTCATTAGCCCTAAGACAGCAGAACCAGCTCTTGCACCAGCCATGATCTCTTCCTGTCATAGGGAATATAAAGAGGGCAATAGATCACCAATACACAGCAAAGTGAATCACTGATAGGTAACAAAATAATACTCTGCTGTGCAGATCCTTAGTTAATACAAGACTCTAACGGAGTAAATTCAGAGTATCTCTATGGCAGACCATGATTTGTACAAAGGATGCAAATAAGTGGTAATTCTGTAATTGGTGTTAACTGGTTTCCAGAAGGGTCCTACCACCAATTCTGCCTGTATTTAGCATCCCTGGCCTACTGGTTTTGTGTTGTTTGGAAAACCTGAAAATTACAAGATTAAATACAATGTATAATGAATATTTTTTGTTTCTACTTCAGGCTGGTGTTCGGTGTTTATTTTTTTCCTCACTCTTAAAGATGAGACTTTATTGTTTATAAACATCTGATGTCAACAGCAATCAAGCAGGAATCTTGTGGGAAACTGTGATGGTTACACAGAAACTGCTTTATATTTGAGTGCTTCATTTCTGTAACCTTAAAAAAGTTTGCTTGCTAGCAGAAAAAAATGGCTCCTGGATGAGTTGAGCGTGTAGAGCATGTAAAGCCAGTGTTTCAGAGCTGAGCAAAGCCTGGAGAATTTTTGTTAAGGAACAAAGGAACAAATTTGCAGTTCTTACAGTTCAGCCAAGTCAAAGCAGTAACTGCAGAAACGCACATCCATGCATGTGCCTGTATCTTTGTTGGATCTTGTGCTTTAAGCCAAACCACACGAGTGCAAAATTTGTTTTTAATAAGGACAACAGTATATTTTTTTCTATTATTTTTATATGGAAGTACTTGGAAAGGATTTTTTGTGTCTGTTAACAATAAACTTTACCTTTTGGTTGAGCTAAACTTAGAAACTCTCATTCAGAATAATGACAGCCATAAGTCCTTGAAAAAGAGGCACAATTCCAGAATCTTAACTCTGCTATTGTTGTAATAATGATATGAGAAAATGAGCGCAAGAAAGAGTGTCTTCATAAACTGGAGTTATTATTTTGAGTTCCAGCATAAAATCAAAATTATTGCTGGGTGGAGGAGAGGTTATTTTTAAAAGCAGACTGTACTACCCACTCAGCTTCCTGTTAATGAGGCTTTTTGGGTAGTTGCTTTTAAAAAGTGAAATGATTCCTTTTATATTTTTTTTAAACACAAAGAGGAAAGCTATGTGCAGTGTTTTGAATGTGGGAGTTTTTCTCTAGAATATGGATATCTCAGACACCTGAAATTTGAAAAAGCAGTAATTATAAATAAATAAATACATCCCTTGTATTAAGAAGAGTGATGAGATATAGTAGCTGTATTCTCTAAAATGCTGTTACTTTATTTCAAGCAGATTTCATGCATTGCAATACAAGCCTAAGACTTCCCTCAGCTTAGCTATGAAGATAGGTGAAAGGAAGCTCTTAGCAGTCTGTATTGTAATTATTTTAATTATAATCAACTTAAAGGCCTTGGAAAAGTTAGAAATGGGTCCAAATTGAGGTCTGGGGTTTGAATCCCCAGAAATTGGAGTATTCAAATTTTATTTTCTTCTTGCTGAGCCACCCAAGCTATACATTGTAAATCAATTTCAGTTTATCAAAGTTCTCACCTTTGATTCTCTCCTCTTCTGTCTCCCCTTCCCTATGGACATTGGGCTCTTCCTCTCTAATATGAATATGAATATTCTGTCTGAAAATCAGTGAGTTATTTAGGTGGGTTTTTTTACACTGGTCTGTATTTCTCATGCCTTGCAGTTCTTCAGTGAGAAAGCAAATTGTAAGTGTAGGATGTATGCTCCCCTTCAGTTTCATCTAAATAACTAGATTTTTTTTTGCATAAATTTGTAATAATGTATGCTAGTATATAATTCAGGGTTTACTAGAGCCAATTCATACAGCTTTGCAGCAGGCTTGCATTTTGGTCAAGGACTCAATTTCCTTATTATAATCCAAATCTTACTCTGTTTTTACACAGGTGTTAGTTATGTTTTCTATTCATGAAGATTTTATCAGTCTGACTTACTGAAGATTTTGATATGTTTGAGCTTTTCAGAAATGTGATTAGGCTTTTCGTTTTCTTTCTTTTTCATTATTTTTTAAACAAAATTGTAATTTAAATTTAATACATGTTTAAGATAAACTGAGTTCTAACAGTAAGTAATGTTCTTGGCCTATCTTCTGCCATATTTTACTTATCATGATCATTACATTTGTTTTCAGACTCACTTACTTCAGTGACAGCTGTGAATTTGCTTACCAATCAGGAGATTCCTGTAGTCATCTCAGCAAAAAACAATTTAGAGAATTTTCTTGATACTAAAATAGGTATGTGACATTTAATGTGTAAGTACAATAGTATAGTTTTCAGTTGCTCCGTTGGAGCACGAGATACTGTTGTGGTAAACCACTGAACACAGTGGCTCTCTTCTGGACTTTGGAACTCTGTTCTTCATTCCTGTTCTTCATTAGTGAAGAAGGAAGGGAAAAGTAGCTATGTGACTCTGTCTGGGGGAAGAGATTTACAGGATGATTAATTTTAATGGAAGCATTATAAAATTAGTACATTTAATGAGCTAAATTTGAGGATCTGCATATCTTAAGAGGATTGATTACTTACAGTGCATGTGTATTTGTGTCTTGCCATCCTTAATCAAAACAGAACTGTACCATTGTTTGATGTAAGTATTTTGCAAGCAACACAAACTTTTAACTTCTTGTATGTCTTATGTTTACATAAATGATGTGTGTTCTTATAGAGAAATGTTTCAGACAGTAAACGTACAAAATTTTCAAGTTTGACTTTATCTGTTAATATTTATGTTGAGGTCAGTGAATAGGTAATAATTTTGTTCAGCTAGTCTTGGACAGTTTTCTTGGAACCTTTACCTCAAAGGGAAGCATTCCCATAATTTAAGGCACCTAATTTCGGATTGAGGATCCATAAATGGAAGCGGAAGGGTGTTGCTAGAGGATACTCTGAGTCGCCAGGAGTGGGCTTCTGTTCTCAAAGCTGTCCTAGGAAGCAGACTGTCTTACTCCTTTCCTGTACAGGGAGCCTAGTCCCTCAACTTGGGCAGCTAAGTACATATAGTTAGATGATGTGACTGTCCTTCTAAGTAAAATTAGAAATTGTACTAACTTTTTAAAATGGTGTCCATTTTAATCTGCAACCACCAAGCTTTTTGTTTACTCTTATGTTTTGCTAGGGTCTCATCTCTGCTGCACTGAGCATGCAATGTTCTGTGCCACACCTAATAGGAAACAGTTATCTCTTCTTCCCCCTTTCCACTACCTTCCTTATTCCTTAACTCGCTTTTTTACCCTCCCTGTTGTTGATACTTTGTTCCTGCCCTGGAGCTGCTATTTTCTTTTCTACACCACTGCCTCCATTGTCTGTTCCTGCACAACAACTGGACTGGATAAAACCAGCTGACTGTGCAAAAATGTCTTGGATGACCCTCACAAGGTGGATGGAAATTATCCACTTGGGCTGTATACCTTACAATATGCCTGCATCTTACACTTCAGAAATGAATCTGGTTTTGAGAACCAGAACCTTTCCTTGTGTCAGAGAAGCCAAATAATTGAGATATCTTATCTTATTTTTTATTAAAAGCTTCCAGCTTGCTCACTGACATGTACCTTGGCCTTATGTCTGTTGGAAACAGGCCAGCTCTCCCCAGGAAGTTCTGGATGCCAGCTGTTGAGCTTTGCAAATGTGCATTAATAGCATCATCTTTTCAAAAGAAGGAAGGCCAAAAAGTGAGACCTGCTTTTTTCCACTTGCAGAGCATATTGTGAAGCCACCTGTTGCAGGCTGCAGGGCTCTTTGACAAATTAAGATACATACATTATTCTATAATAGGGCCTTGAAATGGGAAGAGTGTACATCTGCTGGAAAGATAAAATAGCGATTCTGTATTTTGCTAGTTAAGGAGTTATTTGTCACAGGGGAGTTTTGCTTGATTTTCTTTAGTTATCTGCTTCCAAACTTCCATATATTGACAGAGTTAACATATAGCAGGCATTTTGTTGCCTAAACAAAGATAAATGTTACGCTGGTTTTGAATCAAGAAGTTTGTATGTTAATAATTCTAATGTGCTCAGCAATATTTTCAGAGGTTTTGTCTGTAGTTTTCACTAACTTAATGTTGTCATTGGCTTGTCAGAATAAGTTTCTTTGCCTTTTAAAAACGACAGCAGTTGTGGAAGATAGTTCAAAACATTAAATACATTATCACTGAAATGAAAAAATATGCAGAAGGATGTATCTGTGGAAATAATAAATCTGTTAGTATCTCAATGTTATTTCAGAACACGTGATGATGAAATTAAGAGATATCTTAACTTGCCTTGTAAGGTAGTCCTCCAAAGTAGAACTGAGACGTACGAACTAAGTTTTTTTTTTTAAACTCCTTTGGGCAAACAGAAGTCATTATAAAGAGAATGTCATAGAAATAAAATATTTTATCCTCAAACTGATGATTGATATCCATGGTAGTCAATCTCAGAGCTGATTTATTTTTTCTCCCCTTCTAGGAATTCCTAGTACTAGTGCAGAAGATGCTGCAGTAGCTACGAGTTTGGGGATTTCTTTCACTGAAGTCATTGAGACGTTGCCAAATGGTTTGGAGAAAATCATTAATTCGTCAGAGGTGGGTATACAAGTATGGAGTTCTTTTTACAATAGCAACGCAAACTAAATCTGTTTTCTCAAGAGTGCCAAATACTTAATATGATTAAAGGGATTTTTTATTTTTTTAAGAATCAAGCCAGGCTTATGCTACCAAATTTCTAGGACTAATTTAATGATGAAATATGTTGGCTCTTCTGTAGCAATGAAAGTTTTTTCCTTTTCTACATGAGAGGAGGGTACAGTATTGGCCTGAGTTCTATAATGGAAACTGAATAATTAAACCCATGTTAAAAGTTGATTCTTATTTCATCATCTTAATAGATTTTTGAGCTAAATATTAACATATTAGTCCTTTTTCCATGTATTCACTGAAATGTGGTGTAAGCCTTTATGGTAACATGCCTGCCTGAAGTGACATAGAAATCTTATCTTTAAATAAGATATATATGGTGTTATAGATCTTGAAAAAATGCATTTGATAATAGACACAAAGCTTATTTTCTGTTATATTACAGGTAGGATCTTAAGTGGTTAAGATGTATGTGAAAGCAAGAATAGAAAAACCTAAAATGAATGCAGGAGAACGCAAACTGTTTTACTGTTTTAATTTCCACAGTCTTTAGCTTGTGTTGGTGGTATTTTTGAAGTTTCAGCATACAGCAGTCAATTAAAAGATCAGAAGTAAATGCACATATCTACCAATAAAGACTGAAGGAGTCTACAAGATTCTTTCTCAACCTTGATCTATTCAGACCATCAAGACCATTACCCTTTGAGCAAGAGAGTTTGAATGAGTAGTTTGTATGTGAATAGTCTCTTGGATAGGAGGATGTTAAACAGCGGGAAGGGTGAAATTAATATGAGACTCATAAACTTTGACTCTCAGAAACTGCATTTGTGACTTTTTTTTTTGTCTGTTCTTGCATTTGCACTGACAGCAAATGTAAATCTTTTTTTCTTCTTCTGCTTCTCTTGTTTTTTAATCAGATCACAGGCATGACTCGGCAGGAGGCTCTAAAAGCTATTACTCAGCAGGCCAAAAATAAAAAAATAGGTGGAGACCTAACAAGTGACAAGTTAAGAGACTGGTTAATATCTCGGCAGCGGTACTGGGGAACACCTATTCCTATCATTCACTGCCAGACGTGCGGCACTGTCCCCGTACCTTATGAAGACTTACCTGTGGTGCTGCCCAGTGTAGCCACCTTCACAGGGAAGGGAGCTTCACCTTTACAAACAGCTCCAGAATGGGTGAACTGTTCCTGTCCGAGGTAAGCCAGTGCTGCATTTACTGCAGACTGGGAGATAGCACTCTGTACTTGCCTGTTTGTTACTGACCACTCTGAGACAGGCTACTACTCCACAGTGATGTTTAGTCTGACTCAGCGTAGGGTTTTTTTTCTTATATACTCTGTAAAACTTTTTTTTGCAACACAGGCACCCACTGTTATTTCTCCATAAACAAGCTGAAGCAAAGTTCACTATTCTTAAGTCGAAGGGATAAAAAAGGGAAAACAATGGTTTTTCTCCCTGCCCCCCATTTCTTAAGTGTTCCTTACTTCATTTACTACAATAATTTTCATTATCTTTCACCAGCAGAGTTCATATAAAGCTTATAATGATTATTGAATTATGTTCTTTTGTTAATGAAACTAACATCGTGTTCATTTTCTTAACAATAGTCCAACAATAAAGTGTTTCCTCAGCTATATAATTCTTTATAATGAAGAACCACATTTACTGTACACTACAGATGACAGCCTGTAATTCAGATTGCAGGAGATAGTAAGTATATGCATCCTGTCAGTGCTGTAATCTTTATTGGTTGTAGTCCATCTGTGTAAGAAGTAAAACGGTCTAAATTAAGTAGTGAGAGATATGTCATGAAAATCAGTTCTTTAATCTTGAGGGCTTCTTAGGTACTCTGTGCTCTAGAGTTTGCATACAGGTTCTGCAGAACAAACTGGTAGAACGTGAGGTATCCCAGGAATGTTTTTCATCAGCAGTGTGATGCAGTGCTGCTGCTAACAGACTGACCAAATGGGAAGTACATTATCAGGCTGCCAGGCAGGGGAATCAGCCATATAAATGGTGTTAGGGCGCTCATTGATAATGCAGCAGTTTCATAACATCTAACTTTATTTTAACATTTGAAGGGTAGAATATCAGTGTGGTTTTAATTTCTAATTAGGTAGCTTATGCATAGCAGTTCCGTATTTTGACCTTTGTTGATAACATGTATTTTATGTAAAATGCACATTTACTTCCATTTTTCTCATATGAAATTTCTTCCCAGATATGCCTATTTAAATTACATGTAGTGGTGTATTTTAAAGCGTGACTCTTTCAGGAAAGCCTTACTAAACAAGATCCTCAAATTTAGTAAAATCCCCAGAAATGCCTTGGTCTACAATTCCTAATTTCAGATTAAAATTTTTTCTGATGTGACTGAAAGTCACTGTTTGCACTTTTGGCTTCCCCTTGACCTTAATTAAAAAATAATTTTGTTGTTTACCTGGCAACAATGTACTTTTGATGTATAACGAATCCTTATGGTTTCCAGATAGTTATTATAACTGCTCTACTTAGAAGTTAATCAAGGGCATTTGTTTAGTCAGAAATAAAGGCGTACAGGATTAATTTCTTAGGCTAAGATGTGGTAGTTTGCTGAAATTATTTTTTTAAAAAATTCTCACCTTTATTTGTCTTCTTATTCTCACCTATTTGACACCTATCTTCAGTATTGCTCATCCACATCCACTACAGTTTCAAATCCTTTGAGCTGTCACTTTTGTGTGTTCATAGTCTTCCTTGCTTTGTCTTGCTCTAAGAAATTGTCATCCCTTCCTTTAGTCCTTCTCTCCAGTAATAGCTTTTTTTTATTAGTTGCATTTAATATCTGGAATTAATAAGGAAAGCAAGATGGAAAGATATAGAAGTCTGTGAGTATCTGAGTGACAATAATGTTAGTAATCATAAATGGTGGAGATGTCCAAGTTATTCATTGTTATGCAAGTCCAGGTAATTGTGTTAGTTGTCTGAAAATCATCTAATGAGATTACAGTATTGTGCCTGTAATCACAATATTGATATAAATTGCATGCATTTTAAAAGATGCCCATGCTCTCTCTTAGTGAGCCATGTCCATTTAGAGTACAGGCAACATCAGAGGCATAATTATGGTTCAATGACTGTAAAGTATTCTTGCTTTTGACTGAAAAGCCATTCTGTTTCATTGTAATATAGTATTATTTTACATTGGCCAAGTCTCTGCTTATATGTACAATTTAATAAAATGGTTATTCTATATTAAAAAGCAGTTAGAAGTAAAATTTCTTTACTACATTATTCCCATTTAATGAAAAACTTGCTGATAGAGAAGGACCTGGGGCAGAGGTAGAGTGAAGGAAAATGCTAAGTGGTGATACTGTCAAAAACTTGCCTCAGCAAGCCAAGCTGAAATATCAGTAAGACAGGCAGATATATGTCACAGCTCAATCAAACCTGATCAGAAACTAAATATGCAGTTAGAAAATATTAAGTAGCCAGTCCCCGTTTATTATGTATATTTCTTATACATATACATACATTTAAATTTACATGCAGTTATAAATTGCATATATTTGTTACATATAGCCAGTGGTATTTATATACAAGTATGTCACAGGTTGCAAAGTTTTATTGACATTGGAATAATCCCATTGTTTTAACAGAATTTTAAAGAGGGATCATTTACAACATATGGAAGTTTATTAAATGTGATTATTGGCTTCTACAAACAATTTATATTCAGGGAGAAATTAACAGAAAGTAACATGAGTTTCTCAGGGCTGCTGATATAACTTCAAGCAAAAATTGATTTGCTGTAATCACAAATTAAAATTGTGCTACAAAGTCTAGAAGAGATTTGCTACATCGCAGTGAAAGCTGAAATTAAACTGAGTTCATTTTTTCTAGAGATAATAAATGGAATCTGTAAAGACCTTTTTGTACAGACAATCAGTGAGAGGTAACAACCTGCTCCTTCTGCTAAATGTTTACAAAATGATTTGTCTGCTCATACCTAATGAGTGTGATATATATTCAGTACCCATTAACTTTATGGCAAAGTACACTTGTCTGCTTTAAGACTTGCATCATTTCTTTTAAAATGGCAATTCTAAAAGATTTCAGGAACATACAATAGAGGGCTGTCTGGTGCAGCGCCATCTTTCTCTATTGCTGGATGTTATAGCTGTTCAGGCTTCTTTTGGTTTGCATTTTGTTTGGTTTGGAAGGGAGAGGGAAGGAGAGTCGGCCCGCTTACTGGTGATGAACTTTTTCTGAACATGTTACTCTTTAGACTGTTCAGACCCATTCAGTTTTCAGTCTAAATGTCTTCATGGCCACTCTGTACACAGCTGGTTTTTACCAAGCTTGTCACTTATCTAAAAATAGCTTTTCTCCTTCTGTCTTGCTCAGGTGTAAGGCAGCAGCACGGCGAGAAGTTGATACCATGGATACATTCGTTGATTCCGCTTGGTACTACCTGAGGTACACTGACCCTCACAACGTGGACAGGTGAGGGCTGCAGGCACAGGGCCCTTGGGGGGTAACCCCGCTGCACAGAATAAAGGGAAGGAAGAGGCCAGACACTCTGGTGGTTCTAGCATCTAACTGCCTTTGCAGAAGGTGGCGTAAAGCCCTGTGCTGCCCTCTGGCCTGAGCACAGCACAGGGTAGGCTTGGAACTGCTCTGAAAATGTGCCATTTGGTTGCGCCCGTGCCAGGAGATCTACAAGAGCAGGGTGTGTAGATACAGCTGTGCAAGTGCAGGAGCTACAGGACAAGGGGCAGAAGTTTGCATGAAAGGGCATTATGGGGCAGGGCACAGACAAAATGTTCAGCTGAGGAGCTAAAGATAGTCCTTAGTGGAGGGTGCCATCAAAAATGACAACCTACCACGACTCTCTCTGAGATTGCAGTAAGTTGCATGGAGTGTACCCTTCCTGGCAATACACCAGGGAGGTCAGTGTGTGGACAGACAGTGATAGTCCACCGGAAAGAAGAGGAATAGTCTGGAGTAACATCCAGCTGTCAAGAATGGCACCTCCACTTCTCTCCTTTTGAATTCCAGTAACTCTTGCTACTTCCTCATGCGCAGACCTGAAGTGAAGTGGCATCGCAGCAAGCTCCTGCTGTGTCACCACTTCGACTGTATGCATAATTAATGGAAGATTTTTCTTGTGCTGTGTATTAGTGGCTGCAGCATGGAGAGTGTGGGAAAATAGATGTATTTATTTAGCTGTTTTTCTGCTTCATAGTCTGCTTGTAGTAGCACTGCTGATAGCACTGGTCTTCCAAAGAGGAATTAGTGGAACAGCTCTACTATGTAGTCTGAAGAAGATAGAAAGAGTTACGTTTTTAAGGTATTGATGCCACATGTAGGGCTGTTAAGGGATTTATTTGTTTGTTTATTGTCCAGAGTAGTGTCTGGGTACATACTACATACTGAATGATTTACTATAGCTGGGCCAATTATTTTTTTTTATATTGGCAGCACTAGTTTAGTTAAACTAAAGAAAAATCTTCTGTGAACACTTCTAATTCATCTTAATTTTTAATTATTTTCTAGTGATAGTGTGAATTTATTATTAATAAGTTAAGTGGATCACTTCCTCTCCAGTGACAGTTTAAAATAATTTTTTGTGCATGGACAAGAGGCACTTTTCCAGAAGTTGAAGAAGGAATAGACAGATGTAACATCCAGCTGGTGAAATAACAGTTTAGTGTAGCTAAATCTGGTTTACATTGAAATAGGAACATTTGCATGGACTTCTACACTAGATCACTACTCCATTTGATTTATCTAGTTGGTTTTTTTAGATAAGATGGATATACATAAGTCCTTTATTTTCATAAGCCATGTTTCACAGGTCTAGAATTTGAGAGAATTACTCTGTTGATTTTTGGAACCCTGTGAACAAGTTAGTTTTGATTTGTTCCACTAAAGACATGAGTCCCAGATTCACAATTTTGTGAGGAAAAAAGGGTTGCTATTACAAAAATTACAGATGGAATAATCAGACAGACTGACAAAACAAGTAGATTTGTTAGAATGGGGCCAAAAAGCATACATTAAAGAATAACATCTATACAAATGGTATTTTGCAGGCAGGTGTCCATTACAGGAGACATAACAGTATTTAATGAAGCAGTAAGTAATGCTAGGAAACCATGCAGGTGACCTCCAATGACATAGTAAATATACTGTAAATGACAAATTTACTGTAAATCCATCAAGCATCCTTCAATTGGAGTGTGATGACCCATCTGACTCTTCAGAATGTTTTGCAGCCTTAAACTGCTTCATTGCCCCCTAATGGCAACAATGCAAACCTCCAATCAAAACAAATCAGATGGTGTTGAGTGGGCATGTCTTTTGTCTTTCATTGTAATATACTTGTATGTAAAACTTGGTAAATACTAAAAAATTGAAAGACTAACCACAGGGTATTTATAAGAAAATCCTTTAAAGAGCAAGCAAATATTTTCATCACTTTCTCAGGTAATGTATGTGAAATCTTAGTTGCTTGCCTAAAATATAGGAAAATAATATTTTTGTGGATATGTATCTCAGTGGAACTTAAATTTTTGTCCCTAATGAGCATATCACTTCTTAAAAATTAATAAGATCTCATAGCAAAATAAAAGTTTTACTAGGCATGCATTGCTCTCAGTAAACAGCAGTGTCCACTCAAGTATGATGATCTGCTTTAGTAGAGCTGATATTTCGTTTCTATATTGTACTTTTTATATAATTGTGTTTTTTCAGGCCCTTTAATAGTGACTTAGCAGACTACTGGATGCCTGTGGATTTGTACATCGGAGGAAAGGAGCATGCAGTTATGCACTTATTCTATGCGAGGTTTTTCAGCCATTTTTGCCATGATCTAAAGATGACAAAACACAAGTAAGCCTTATATATTCCTATAAACATCTTTCATATTTGATTTGACTAGCAAGTGTGTTAGTGGACATTGTAGCTGTATGGATGATAGAACACTACATTAAATAAGCCTGAATTTTCCTGCTTGTCAGTCTTAACTACTTGGTTTCTCACAGACAGTTGCATTTTCTGTATGCATACGTACATAGCGGTTTTATTACATTAATATTAACTGGCTCAGAGCAAGTGATAAAATGCTGCTGTAGATTTCAGCCTGCGAAAGCTTGCATAAACTAGTAACTTTAGGAATTCTGAGTAGTGCTATTATTTCAAATTAGGTAATTTCCTGCCCATAATTTCAGTGGAACCATGCATATGTAGAAAACCAAGCACTCCTATAATTCACTGCAGTATTGGAGCTGAACAGTGCAAAACACTTCTTGATAACCAAAACCAGTATATTTATCTGCTGTCAGTTCATCTCTAATTACTTTTATGTAACTACTTTTAATTACTCCTGTTACTGATGCTGCTATAGCTTGATTCATTATTCTCTGTTTTGGTTAGAGGTAAAGTTTGAGGCAGGAAGGTGAGTTATCTGATGTTCTATTCTTTGTCCTCTCAGTTGGGTTCTCAGCTTGATGTTCCCATTTCCACTGAAATTCTGCCCTTCTATACCCTAAAATACCATCACGGGAATGCCTCAACTGGGAGGATGCTAGTGTCAGAGCAGTGATACACTGCCCTGTGCTCTGTCCTGTTCTCCCATCAGCAGAGACGTTTGAATAGATTGAGTCAAAATGAGTAATCCCATGAGAAGAAGACCTCAGTAATTTCTGAGCTGGCAACTCATATGCATTCATTCTTTACTAGTATCCACTCTAACAACTTAATGTAAAAGAGGAACCTATGTATACATCACACTGAACTCTATTGAATGCAGCAGTTTTGCTACAAAACTAGAACTTAAGTAGCTGTGCACCAGAAAAGGATGAACTAGTTAGTGAAGCCAGCAGAATATTTCCCTGAGTTGTTTCATAATCATTTGATTAACGTCAGTGATGTGTTTTCATTGCTCATTTTTGCCTGCAGAATAGTTCACAGTGAAAGCTATATTTGAAATTTTGGATGTGGATGATTTGTGTACCTGTGTTTCATTATGTTGTGTCCAGCTTCCATAGCTGCAGCAGGAAGGCTGTTTCTTCTCTCAGGGAGTGGACCTCTCAAAGCAGACCCTTTCAGAGGCACTGTTGCTTTAAGCAGAGAATTTTGGAGCTTTCCCTTGGAAGCAATTTCAAGCTTATCAGTTCTGCAGAGGACTTTACAATCCTAATCTGTCAACCATCTAGAGGAGCTGTAACACACAGCAGAAAAATGTTCTTTTGCTAGTCAAATTCTTCCACTTCCCAAAATGACATTAACTATGGTGGCTGAAGTATTGTCACTATAAAGTGAGACCACAAGGAAGGGGAGGTTTGCTTGCAAAGTAAGTGGTCTACTCTGGCGTGCAAGAAAATGGGGAGGCATGGAAAGAGGCCACCTTGTCTGAAAAGGAACCTCCGGAGTGAGCTCAAGCACTAAAAGAAGTACGTGGAAAGTGGAAGTGAGGATGGTCTACCTCTGGAGGAATGTGGAAGCATTGACTGGGTAGGCAGGGTAGAATTAGGAAAGGCCATAGCTTATCTAGAATTGAAACCGACGAAGAATGTGAAGGCAGTAAGAAGGACTTCTGCAGATACATTGAAAAGAACATCAAGGAAAAGTTGGCCTGACACAAAAACAGACAAAGAGCCTAGTAGCAAAGGGCAATCTTTGCCTTGGCCTTTGCTGTCAAGGTCTGTGCTTAGTAGGAGAGTTTGAAGGAGAGAGGCACCACCCACTGTAGAGTAGGATGGAGATAGGGATCACTCAAGTAAACCAGACACATACAAGTCCATGGGTCATGTACTTGTAAATTTCTAAGTAAACCAGACATACAAGTCGCAGGCATATGAAAGACAAGGTGATTGGGAGTAGCTACCATGGATTTACCAAGAGGAAATCATGCCCAACTTAATCTGCCTTCCTGCTATGGTGAGATGGTTCCCTTTGTAGATGAGGAGAGAGCTGTGCATATCTTTTACTGCGACTCGAGCAAGGCTCTTAACAAGTTCCCCCATGGCATCCCTGTAGTCTGTGGAGATACAGGCTGAATGGGTGGAGTATAGCATGGATGTAAAACTGCCTGAACCATCAGGCTCAAAGGATCAGTGTTCAAAGTCTGACTGGCAGCTGTTTGCAAGTGGTATTCCTCAGGAGTTACTGCTGAGATCAGTGGGATTTAACATCTTCATCAATAGCCTGGGCGATGCAACAAAGTGCTCGCCCTCAGCAAGTTCATTGATCACGGCACACTGAGAGAAGCCATTGATACTCCGGATGGCAGAGCTGCTATGCAGAGAACTTTCATGAGCTGGAGAAGCGAATCTGAAGTGCTGACAGGAATCTCAAGTACGTGGAGCAGATTACCCACAGAAACAGCTGGGTCTGTGCCGACTATGCAGGGAGAATTATGACAGAGAAGGGCTTTAGGAGTCCTGATGGACACCAAGTTAGACGTGAGTCAGCAGTTGGTGTAAAAGTACAATGCGCTGCATTAGCAAAGCCATGTCCAGCTTTGATTTTCTCTACTCATCATTCCAGAAGTCACATCTGGAATATTGTGTCCCATTTTGAGGCCCCCCCCTAGTGTGAGGGACACTGTCAAACTAAGGAAGATCTTGTAGAGAGGCGCTAAGATAGTCAGGGGCTGGAGCAAATGGCATAGAAGGAGAGGCTGAGGGAGTTGGGCATGTTCACCATGGAAAATAGAAGACAAAGAAGGGAATGTAATTGCAGTCTACTGCTACCTAACCAAGATTTATAGAGAAGACAGAATCAGACTCTTCTCAGAGATGTACAAATGAAAGGAGTAAATAGTCACAGATTGCAGCAAGGCCCAGCTGGATAGATGGAAAACAGTTCTGATAGTGAAGGTGATCGGGCTGGAACAGCTTGACGAGAGAGGTTGTGAGATCTCTATCACTGGATATTTTCAAAACTCAGCTGGACAGGGCCCTAAGCAACCTGAAGTTAGGTCTGCTATGAGAAAGGAGTTGGCTTCCAAAGTCCCTTCCAAGCTACGTTAAAGATGCTGTAATCCTGTAGCTTTATTAATTTGGAATGTGTTTTGTTCACACTCCACTGTGACAGAGCAGTAGCACCAAAGCTGTGTAGTGTAGATTGGTCTAAGTATAGTAAATTGCAGAAGAAAACTCTTAACTTCAATGAAAAAAAAAAATGCTTAAGAAGCACTGACTACGTCTAGTGACAATAGCGAAGAAAATCAAAATTGCTTTCTGTAGAAGTAGTTTCCAAAACTGTGGAGAATTCCTTTGATACCATATACAATCTCAAGAACTGTTGCACATGTGAAGATAGGTTACAGCATTGCCCCTAGGATCTGTTGTCTGTACTGCTTATACATGTGCTCAGACTGCAAGATGACTGTAACAAATTAATCACCATGCACAAAATTGTTTTCTTGCTTTAGCTCTGTGCAAGTTAGAGCATTAGGTGCTCTTAAGCCGTGAAGTCAAATCAGGTTTTTGTTTTGATGTGGAAATCACAACTTCTTTATAAATATTGCCATGTGTTTTAAATGTTTTAGCATTGTCAGAAGCCACTTTTACTCAGTCTTCTGTTAGGACTGCTCAAAGGCTGGTCTGAAAGATCTGAAAAGGGTAGTTAAAAACAATGAGCTTACTCTTAGGAAGCTTAAAGTCATGGTGTTGAAGCCCACAGTTCCGAGGGAAAACGTTAGAATGTTAAAACACACTGCCCTCTTGTGCATTTTCAGTCTTTCTCATGTAGCTCAGGACTTATTCAATGATTAAATTAGTAAAATTGTGCTATATCCCAAAGCTGCCACCATTTAAATTGTTATCTAGTATCCTGACAAATTTTTATGATTCCCCTATTAATCGGCAGTAATTTTTCATTTTTATAGCTTTTCTTCATGGAATTTTTCATTGTTTGGCTCCTATCCTCTGACTTTCAAATCCATTGAAATATTTCCTGATAGTCTTTAATTCTGTATTAATGACTATTAATATAATAATGAGATTGAAAGCAAAAGTTTAAAATTCCGTAGTTTAGATTTTCAAAGCAATCTCTTCAAATATGATGTACCTTATTATTACAGAAATATTATAGGCATCATATATAAAATAGGCATTTGTGGATATCACACATGCTTCCACAGTAAATGTAATGTTTGTAGTCATCTAAAATTGTAAAGGTGTCAATATAGTTTAAATATCCCCTGAAGATGGGCATTATTTTTTTCAATGCATTGAACTGGAGACGGTGGGAAATCCTGCTCATTTCCTCAGTAATGGCAAGGCACAATAAATGGCACCCTCTGGATATCGGTACATGTGATACCAGATTAAGCCCAAATTGATGTAATTTTGTGTTAGCTATCTGGTCTGTAAAGTGCATCAATTCCAGAATTAATTCACAAGCCAGTCAGCTGTCCCAGCTGTGACTGGTGGTGGGAGAGGGGCCAGGTAGGCAGCTGGGGCCAGCAACCTTCTCATCTGTTCCAGCTTAATCCATGATGGCGAGTGTATGCTGACACACTCAGTTACACCTGCTCAACTGTATTACTCCAAGTAAAAGTTACACAGAATTTGGCTCTTCCACAGACTTTAATAATTGGTTCTGTCTGAATAATTGCAAATGGGATCTAGCACATTCTCTCTGAAGGATTATAAAGCAAGAAAAAAGTTTATTGTTGCCACTAAGTCAGCAGATTTGACTGATAGATAGCAAATCTATTGAGTAAGAAGGCACTATTTTCACATAGCTGAGTTACAGAATAAGATGACATGTGTGTGACAGAAATAGCTTATTCTGTGAAGGAAGGGTGTTAGAGCTTCTCTACTTTCATTAGGGACTTTATCACTAGTGTTGATTTTAAGTAAAGGCACTCAGCTATTGACTGTGTAAAATCTTGCACGTTCAATATCATTTTTCTGCCTAAAATGATCAGCTCCCACATCTTCCAATCACTTCTATTCAGGCCTTCCATGTTTAACAGCAGTTTTCACAAGCACCTGAACTCAGCTGGCAGTGACTAACTAAGGTCTTGCCTTCTCTCTAGGGCACAGCATCGGGCTCTCTAAGCCTTTCTAAAGGTGCAGGATGCAAATACATTTAGTGAGCTCCCTCGCTAGGCCTATCCCTTCTTCTGAGTCCACTATTTATCACTGTTGCAGGCTCCATACAGTCCTTCCAGCCAGGTCATTTGTAATTGGACTGAAAGTCCTGCTACTCACCTTGCACGGAGCAGAGCAGGAGCACGAGGTCATGGCACTGAGCAGTAGTTTCAGATCTGTCCGTCACACTTGCCCCTCCATCCATTGCCTGCTCCTATACAGAGAAATTGGTCTATCATAGAGATAAACTTGTATATAAACATTACTGAAAGGAAAAGATGGATTACACACTTCATGGCTAGCACAGCTGATCCTTCCCAGAGGTGTCAGGCAGACTTCACAGGTGGGGGGGCCCATCTGACATAGAACATGATCAAAAGTTGCACACAGCTGAGGCCCCAGCACCCATACTCCAGCATGGGCACAAACAAACGTCGGCAGGTGAAGGCATATCCCGTTCCAGCATCCTTACAATCTGAAATGTGACCAAACAGTCAAAGAATCTCAAGCCACCTCTTCGTTTACTCTGCTGGAAATGCCAGTCTCTCTCAACATAGCTTAATTTCAGTTGTTCACAGTGGTATGGCTCGGGAGGTATTTATGACGCCAGGCCATGACTGGGTGCTGCACTAATTAGGTCAGAATTGCATCACGCCTGATGTGCTGCGGCGTCTCATCAGTTCCCTTCCACAGCCAGGAAACACATCACTTTCTTCGAAGGAGAAGGGTTCAGGGGTGCGGTTTTAATGTAAATTAAAGTGTAACTCTGCATGTGACCATGAGATGGAGCCGCCACAACACTGGCAAAATCAGCGTGCTCAGTTTCCGAGCCCTGTGGTTGTTAGATAGGCTCTGGCTTTCTCATTTTACGCATGTCTCCCTTCTCCTGCAGTCTCCCACTAGGAACACGTGGGAGTTTGTTTTCCCCATACTTGGTAATGTGTTTTGTATTGCGTTTTTGTAGCCTCTGTCAGCATAAACAAAAATAGGAAATGCTCATTCCTTCATTCAGCTTTTGATAACTTGGCATATGATCTGAACTAACTCTTTGTCATTAAAAATAAGTGTTCCTTGAAAAATCACTTCCAGTGGACAGCCCTATCTAATGTGAATATTCTGGCTACCTTATTGGCTTTATTTTAGAGAGAAGCAAGTGTAGCTATTTTAATAACTGTTTGAGATCTTAAACTGAAGTACTGAATGGTAGGGGGAAAAATATTTTTTCCTTAGGGTAATGTCTTTAGTTTGTAGAAGAATCTTATCCTGAACAGTTATCTCCTGAGGCATTTTTTTGCCATTTGTTGATGATAGGACTAAAAGTTTTTTGTTCCTGATTTTCTTCTTCTAATTCATTTGGATAATTTGAGATAATTATTCAAGATTTTAGGTAATTATTGCTTCCTATTTTTAAAATACTTTTTCTTGTTTGTGCTGTCTAAAGTTGACTTCACTTCTCATCTCCGTACGTTCCTTCAATTTATTTCTGAATAGCAGGATTTTTCAGGCAATGTGTGAAATGTTGTCTAGAAAATATTTATAGAGGTGCTTGAGTTGCTACTCAACATTGTTAATAAAACCAGGTGGCATGGCAGAGACTCATACTTCTTGGTGACTGAATGATAGAACGCTATGTGCCCGTACTTGCACAATATTTACAAGTGTACAAAATATGCAAGGAAGGAAACTCATGTTCAAACATGAGTATGTTGAAGATAAAGTATGAAGCCTGTCACTTTCTCTTTCCCAGTTTAAGACTTTTCTTTCAAATATTTCCTTAATTCAGAGTCATCAAAAGGGTTTAAAGACTAGTACTGGGAAGATATTTGTTTTAATACAGTTAAAACGTGTAATTATTATATAATTTAATAATACTTTAGCTGCATTATTAATTACTGTGTTTTAAATCATGAGATAAATTGGCATATAATTTATATTTCCTAATAATGTAAAATACTCAGTTAACTTCTTAAAAGTGAGCAGTGTTTTGGATTATGATTTTTTTTGTGTGTGTGTGAAGTAAAATGTGGAAGTCTGGTTTTACTATTTCTTCTTTAGATGGATTTATTCTAGCTTTCTTTTAAAATACGTAAGTAGGTGTAATGGATCCTTTTTATGTAAGTTGGTTTGGTAGATACGTGGGGCTTCGTTAGGTGGAAGTGTGGAGGATTCAGACTGCTTAATGTTGAGCCCACATGTGAACATTAAGAGGTAGTAACCAGCACTGATTAGCACGTCCTCCAAGATTATGGTCACCAGTGTCTTTGCGTTGGAGGATCCGATGAGAAGGCTCCCCACACCATCCTTGCCTTCTGGGTCTGGCTCCATACCTCCTCCCTGCCCCCTTGGGGCTGCTGTTAGAACTGCCTTACTTTCCAGGCCTACTGAGTGGGGACCAAAACCTCTAGAGATTAATTTTATTGTCTCCTTTTCAGTGAAAACAAGCGACAGATGTCTGACTAGATGAATTAGAAATGCAAGATCATTAAAGGAGCTGGTTGCAATAATGTATGTCAACTGGAGCAGTGTTTACTTAGAGTTTATTTCTTACTCAGTACACTACTGCCCTTAGCTTTGGTGCTTTTAAAGTTCTTTTTAGCTCTCTCATACTCACATTTGATGAGAGTTTACACTTCCTGATGTTCATTTTGCTGGAAAAGTAAAGTCTGAATGTTTGAGATTCTAAAAAATTGATCCACTGACATATGAACTCTCCAGGATTGCTATTTTCCTAGTGTACTTTTTTCTTACATCTAGATCTTCATGGCTAGTTCTGCAAAGGGACAAGGCATGCAAGTGCTTATGTCAGAGAAACTATCTTCTTTGTTTATAGAAAGAAATGTGCCATGAGATTTTGATTTGTTCAAAATACTGTGCCTCTCAGAGAGAAGCTAGAACTAAATATTTGTAAGACAATGAGACCAGGTACTTGAACGCTTTTACATACACATGGGGATTTAGCTTGAAGTTAGTAAAATTGCACTGTTGGCCAAGAAACTTTTGTGTACTATCCATATGCTAATTTGAGAAGTGACGGTAGAATAACTCAGTACTAAATCAAGATGCAAGAATGTGTGCAGAATACAAATAAATACTTGCCAGCCAGCCACCATGAACAAATGCACAAAGTATTTTTTCTGATATGACAACCATTTGTGTATAGTCAACTTGAAATTCTTGTTTCATTAAATAATTGTGCCTGATTGGCTCAACACCTGAGGCTTATCATTAAGTATGCTTTTGACAGCTCTTTTCCACAGACAAGTTTCTTTTTATTTCCATCCTTAGGGAGCCTTTCCATAAGCTCTTGGTTCAAGGTCTTATCAAGAATCAGACATTCAGACTATCAACAACAGGCCAGTGCTTGAAGAGAGAGGAGGTTGATCTCACTGGTAAGAGAGACTGCATGGGAAAATCAGTGTAGGAGCATCCAGAAAGTCAGACTGCTTTGGTATACAAGTCTCAGTGCTGGGAAAATCTGGAATAGAAAATAAATCCTTGTAATATTTAAACTGGAGAGCAACTTCTGTGAGTTTTGGATTCATATGCACTGCTCAGTGCACAGAGACCCTACTAATCCAGCAACTTTTAATTGCATCCAAACATACAAACAGTGCTTTGGTATTATTTTAGCTCCAGTATAGTTCAGAGGATCAGAAGTCAGTTTTGTTAAGACAGTGCTCAGCAGCTTGCTGATAGAGCTAGTAGTCCCAACAAACTGGCAGCATGCAAAAACGTTGTGGCAAAGCTAACAGATGTTGGTGTATTCAGTAGATATTAGGAATGTAAAATGTGTACAGGAAAAAGTGCTGTTTTCTCAAGTCCTTTCCAGTGCTTTCAGTGGATAAGCTGGAGCAGCAAGTCCTTGGGGACCTGTAGCAACAAGAGTGGTTTGGTCATATTTGCCTCCCTTAAGCACTCCTCTCATGCAGCCTTGTTTTCACTGTTCTTTTCCTTCATACAAACACCATAAATCAGTTAAAAAACAAACAAAAACCAACCAAAAAACTCCTTATGTTTACCACTGTCTCACTGTCTGCTCTCCTAGTTTCTTTCAGAAAACCTAGGGCTTTTCTGTAGCAGGTGGTTTTGCTCAGTTGCACCTTTATCAGTGTAAATGCCCCTTTCCATCTCTAAATTCATGCAACAGAAGTCACGTTCTTGTCAGGAGAACTTACTGCAATTGAAACCTGTAAATCTGGTGTTTGTAAAAGCTAAGAGCAGGTCAAAATTGTACAAAATCAATACACCTATCTAGGAGGTTTCAGATGTCATGGTTATAATAATGTTTAAATCTCAGGGCCTATCAAGGTAACACGTAGGATGAGTGCCAGATACAGATTCCAAATGGTAGGAGGAGACTTTCTGTCATGATGTAATATGAAAGCACTGGGATATTACTTGTGTTAAAACATTAAAGTAGGAAAAGCTTGGAAGGGAAGAGGGTGTTTATAATGGGTGTTTTTCCTCTTTAAAGCCGTTTGGAAACCAAAAAAACCCACTAGAAATAGTTGTTTCTTCCTATGCTTAGGGAACACAGTTAATTGCTGTTACAAATGAGCAAAATTTGTTTTAATATTTTGCATATGTCTTAATACTTAGGAACTGAACCAGTTCACCTAAACACTGGTGAGAAGCTTCAAGTTGCTTGGGAAAAAATGAGCAAATCTAAGCACAATGGAATAGACCCTGAAGAATTAGTCCAACAGTATGGCATCGACACCCTACGTCTTTACATTTTGTTTGCTGCTCCTCCAGAACAAGATATTTTGTGGGATACTAAAAGTAAGTTGGATTGTTTCTGTTGTTTTTGTTTAGTTTGGGTTTTTTCTAGTGTGTTATATTTTAAACACAAAATTAATATAGTTGTTCATGCCCAACTTTTGGAACATTGAATCAAAAAAGTATAATGAGCAGGTTTTACTGCTTATTTGTTTTAAAAGTGTCTTGGGTTTGAGTGGTGGGGTTTTTGGTGGCAGGGGAGGGGGCTATAGGGGTGGCCCCTCGTGAGAAGCTTCTCGAAGCTCCCCCAGCTCCAAGTCAGCTCCACCTCTGCACCAAAACTGAGCCAATCAGCTGCGCCTCTGCAATAACGTGTTTAAGAAGGGACGTGGTGACAAGGAGTGGGACTTGTGAGGAGGAGCTGCAGCAGCTGCATGAACACCAAGGTGATTGGCAGAACAGAGGAAGAAAGGAGGGGGGAGGTGTGCCGGAGCAGAGACCCCCCTGTATCCTGTGGTGAGACAGCAGGGCGGCCCCCCCTGCCACCCATGGAGAGCTACGGTGGAGCAGACATTGATTTATGGCCTGTGTTTTTCGCCAGGATGATCAAGGTGACTGTGCCCAAAGAAGGCCGGGGTCTTGTGGGAAGAAGCAGCCCCTGCTGTTGTAGTCCAGCGCTGGGAGGATTGCAGCACACAGGGGTGTCCCACACGGGAGCAGCTCAGGAAGGGCTGCAGCCCGTGGGAGGGACTCCGGTTGGAGAAAGTTGTTGCCCCACGACAGAGCAGTGTGGGGAACGCTGCGGCCTGTGGGAGGGACTCACATCGGAGAAAGTTTGTGGAGGACTGTCTCCTGTGAGAGGGGGACCACGATGGAGCAGGGGGAACAAGTTCCAGAAGCTCCCCTCACTGAAGATGGAAGAAGTGGTGGCACTGCCTGCACCCCCCAATTCCCTGCCCTTGTGCCCCTGGGGGGAGGAGGTAGAGATATCGGGAGCAGAGCTGAGCCCGGGAAGAGGGGGAGGAGTAGGGAGAAGGTGTTCTCAAGGTGTGGCAATGCTTCTCACTGTCCTACCCTGTTAAGTGTTGTTAGTGTCTGTAATAAATGCATGTTCTTTTTTTTTCTTCCCCTAACAAGTCTGCCTTTTGCTCGTGCCCCTAAAGGGTGATTTTTTTCCCATCCCAGTCCTATCTTGAACCCCAAGCCTGGCTCATCTGTCCCTTCTTATTGCCAGAATAGAAGGGGGAGAGAGTGGCTGCATGATGTTAGGCTGCTGACCAGGCTCAAACCACAACAAAGAGAAGAGATCACAAGGCTGTCACTGAGAGGCAGGCCTGCAAAATTATTACAAACAGCTTGCCTCTTACAAGCTAAAAGCATGTGTGAAAAGTACTTCTTAAGTGGTATTTTCTTCTGCAGACTTGGACTTCTCTTATTTTTTTTATTAGCTATGACTGATTGACTGTAAATGATTATTTTATTTTCTTCATTACAAGCTGCTTTTTTAATCATACCAGATTACAGATAAAACTTTGCCATATTATGTCCATTTATTTACTCATGTATGCAATGGCTTTTGTAAGCTGGACTATGAAATACTTCTTAGGAGAATTGCATTAGAAGATAATCAGAGCTCCTAGTAATTAATATTTCTACACACATGACATTTTTATAAGTTTATTTCTTGAATAAGTTAAGATTTACCCTCCTATGCACTTATTTACTTTCATCATGTCATTTGTCATACTGACAGATCTTAATTTCTTCTATCTACCGTGTTTCATGCATTTTAATGTAGTCTTATGCATACAGTTAAATCTAGCCCTCTTGTCGCTTAAGGCTTTAATAATACACTCTATGCCGGATTTAAAAGGTGTACTTCTTCACTGTTTCTTGTGATAGTTTCTTGCTACTTAGTTCAGCCTGCACTAAGTATTATTTCGGTTGGTGTCTGTCACCGTTTACATCCACATGTGTTAATTTAAATATTATGATATATTATGACACTATTGAAGGAGAGGACTTTATGATTTTTCTCAGTTGGTTTTCTGTCACCATCTAATCACAACAGTAGAGAGTTAGGCATATGAAAGGTCTGTTAAAATTGGAATCAAGCTTTAACTCCTGCGTCACTAACAGTACACAGGTACATAATTCCCTCTGAAGCAGCAAATTTAGTGGCACACAATGTTTTTGCTGGTTTTATCCATCTTGAAAATGGAATAAATTAAATTAGTATGAGAATCATGGGTATGAAATCTTAGTTGCAAAGTATACTAGAGCTTGGTGGTTAAACATTTTTTTAAGAAAGGTAAGTACATGCCGGTGTAATGCTAGCAAAAATGCATTTAGTCATTAAAACCAAGCTGTTTACCACTTGAGAAATACAAAGAAAGATTTCAGAGTCATGTCATGTTAGAAGAGTATTGGAAAATGTGGACAAAAGGTGATATTAGCAGCCTGAAGATATTTCCAGGGGAAAAACATGGAAAGTAGGTGAAAAGCATCTCTTAAATCTTTAGGCTTTGGTGTGAATTTCTTAATGATAACAAAATAGAGGATGTTTAAATTGAAGAAATGAAGCAAGTTGTGGTGAGTTTTACCTTGGCTGGATGCCAGGTGCCCACCAAGCAGCTCTATCACTCCTCCCTCCTTAACTGAACAGGAGGAGAAAAATATGATGAAAGGCTCATGGACTAAGATAAGGACAGGGAGATCACTCAGCAAATACCATCACAGGCAAAACAGACTTGACTTGGGGAAATTAATTTCATTTATTTCCAATCAAAATCAGAGTAGGGTAATGAAAAATTAACCTAAATCTTAAAAATACCTTCCCCCCCACCGCTCCCTTCTTCCTGGGCTCAATGTCATGCCCAATTTCTCTGCCTCCTCCTCCCGAGTGGCACAGGGGCACAAGAAATGAGGGTTGCGGTCAGTTCATCACATGTCTCTGCCAATCCTTCCTTCTCACACTCTTCCCCTGCTCTAGCATGGGATCCCTCCCATGGGAGACAGTCCTCCACAATGTCTCCAACGTGGGTCCTTCCCACAGACTGCACTGCTTCATGAACTTCTCCAGTGTGGATTATTTCCACGTGTCCTTTCATTGGGGTGTAGTCTTTCAGGAACAGACTGTTATAATGTGGGTTCCCCATGGGGTCACAAGTCCTGCCGGCGAACCTGCTCCAGCGTGGGTTCCTCTCTCCACAGGTCCTGCCAGGAGCCTGCTCTGGCATGTGTCTCCGTGGGGTCCCAGCCTCCTTTGGATGCATCCCCCTGTGTTCCAGCGTGGGGTCCTCCCCAGGCTGCAGGTGGAGATCTGCTCCACCGTAGACCTCCATGGGTGCAGGAGCACAGCCTGCATCACCATGGTCTTCATCACGGGCTGCAGAGGAATCTCTGCTCCAGTGCCTGCAGCACCTCCTGCCCCTCCTTCACTGACCTTGGGGTCTGCAGAGTTGGTTCTCTCACACAGTCTTTCTCCTCTCCGCAGCTGCAGGTTCCCACACACGTTTTTTTCCCCTTCTTAACATACGTTATCCCAGAGGCACTGTCACTGTCACTGATGAGCTCGGCCTTGGTCAGCGGCAGGTCCATCTTGGAGCCAGCTGGCATTGGCTCTGTCAGACACAGGGGAATCTTCTGGCAGCTTCTCACAGAAGCCACCCCTGTGCCTCCCCACTACCAAAACCTTGCCACTCAAACCCAATACAGAATATTGTTTTATTCAGAGAGTATTAAATGCAGGTTCTCAGTTGCCATGATCCTTCTCTTCACTGGAGGTGTTTTGATAGCCTTTTGAGGATTGCCCTCCAGATTAGACTCCTTGTCTTTTCAGCGGTAGACATGAAGGTAGGGCCTTGTGAAATTCTCTCCCCTGGTGTGGGCTAACAGTCTTCCAGACTATGCCAGACCAGATGTCAAACTTACCCAGCAACTTATTATACCATTACTACAGTCCAGATAATGACAAGCCTACCATGCCTAGATGATCTACATGCTTCTGGTATGAACAGGAGTTGGGAAGTTTGGGGAGAGCATCATACTCCCAGTCCCACCTATGAGAGTTCATGAGGATCATGCAGGTGTAGTCAATCAAGTTGTATTTTACTGTTCCCAGATGTGTAGGAAGTATTTAATCTAGTGTAATCAGTCTGATAGTCCACCTGTGTTACAGTGACTCACATGTCTTTTACCTCTCGCAGTTTAGAGGTAGCCCTGGCAGTGTTTTCAAGCACAGTTGCCAGAGCAGAATTGGAAGCTCTTGCCAGCTGGGACGTCTTAGAATGTGCTGATACTGTGCAGTGCAGTGCGATGTAGTGCTGTGCAGTCCAGTAGAAACACAACACATCTGGAAGAGAGCTAAAGCCATATCGGTGCCATACCTTGGGCCATATCTGCACCATACCACATGGAGGACCTGGCTGTGAGCAGCAGTAGCTTGGGGCCTCTCTGTAGCAGGGTCCCTAGGTCACAGTAACACGTTCTTAGAGCAGCCGTGGAGCAGGTCTGATGCCTGCAGGGTCAGGATGAACAGCTTTATAATCTCCCCATCCCAAACTAAACTGCGTCAAAAGATGGTACCAAAGATCAGAGCCTGTACTCATTAGCACAGTAGCATCTCCAGAGCAACAAAAGTACATGTTATTTCTAAAGTCAAGTTTTAGAAGATCTCTCTCTTTAAAAAATAGTTGTGTTCATACATGTATGTATGTATGCTTATATTCTTCTATGAGTTTGAAAAATGAGAGCCTGTACAACTGTTTTGTTGAGTCATTAAAAAAAATGAGATGAGCGTTCTAACATTGACATACCATTGGGTTATTTTACAGATTTAGCAAATATTCTTGCTGTATATATATATATTTTCAAGTCATTGCAGAAAAATACTTTTGTTTTATCATATTGATTTCTTTCCATTAAGGCAGCCCAGCATTATTTGTAAAGGCATTTTTAATTGCATTGACATTTTTCATTTAAAATACAGTGGGTTCTTTTTTAAATGTTTAACTCTAGCAGTCAGTTTCTTTTCTGCTATTGTTTAAAGTTTTGGATTCGTTAATTGTAACTGAAATTTTTTCTACAATATTTCATTAATTTCAGCTGATACTATGCCAGGTGTTCAGAGATGGCAGACGCGCCTCTGGATGCTTGTAACCAAACTCATTGAAGCAAGGACCTCAGGAACCATGCCCAATCCTGAGCTTCTGAGTAAGAAGGAGAAGGCTGAAGCCAGAAGGATATGGGAGCGGAAGAATCTGGTGATTTCTGAGGTTAAAAGAAACACATAGTTGTAAATTATTCAAGTTGCTGCTTATGCTAAAACTGTATGCTTGACTTACAGAGCCAAAAGCTTTTTCCCCAGATGAGTAGGTCATAATTTATAAGTGAATTCTTCTCTATATAAGTATTTTTATTTACCTACAGATTCTAAGGAACAGAACTTTTTTTCAAAGTGCTAAAATTTGGATTGGCAGAATTTATCTCCTGTGTGCCTCATTTAAAGGATGAAATGTTATGTCATTAAAAAGTTATCAATCTGGGTTGCAAGTAACTCTATTTCCTATAGAAAAGCTATAGATGAGTTATTCATCCCTAACAGAGTCTTTTGATCTGTTTACTTCACACCTCATTATCATGCCTGCTGTTTCATATAGAAGAAGTGGTTGGTGAAAATATATTGGTGTATCCTAAAAAAAAAAAAAAATTACTGGCATGATTGTTCAACTCTTTTATGTGTTTCATGCTGTGATTAGTGTCAGTTCAATTATCCAAGACTCAGAAGGAGACATAAATACCTGCAAAATTAACTTAAAATATTTTTATGTGGATAAAAATTTTTCCTGATTTAAACTCTGTGATGAGGGACCTTCCAGGTCTTTTAACAGACTTTAGAATTCTAATCTTGCAATCTCTGGACAAGCTTTCAACAGCGTAACTGGATTTACAAATATGAAGAACCTCTTGTAGGGGCAAAGCAAAGATATTTTGTTAAAGGAGATAGAGGATGATTACTAATACACAGTTCTCATTGGCATTAGTTGAAGCTTTTAAAATCCTGAAACAGAAAGAAAGCTAGTCAACTGAATGTTTATATGATTATTATTTTCCCATACATGCATGTGATTGCATATATGATGTGTTTGCGTGCCAAAGTGATTTTCATTTAAGAGGTAAGATGGGCATATTTCACAAATGGAAATTGATTATCAATAATTATTTTTCATTTAAAACCCCGGTATTCCATGTTTGAGAATTTTAAGTAATTAATGATAAACCTTTTCTTCTAATACAAGGTAACAGAGAACTTCACAAAAGATCATTTGTTCAATGCAGCTATTTCCCGATTGATGGGCCTCACTAATGTACTCCATGTAAGTATATGGTATTAATGACAGTATTTTTCTCAGATCCTGTTCCTGTAAGTCTTTATACAAAGCGGGAGCTGCCTAAACTATAGGTCCAGCTTTCCATAAGTCATGTACTGTCATAAACATTGCCACTAAATTGAGAGCCTCATTTAATTGTTCAGTTCAAAAGCAGCATGTTCTAGTATCACTGTAACCCTGAAATACATGTTTTTGCAGGATGAGCTTGATTGCATTAGAGCTGCTAGGTTCTCATGTTTACATCTTCAGCCTGTAATTTGAAAAGGACACATTTAGTTTAGCTCTGTTCTTTGTTCTCTTTTTTTTTTTAACCAAGTTGCATAGGTAGCTAAGTACAGTAGTACATTACAGAAATACCAAACATTCTGATGTAAAGAAAAGGGTTATTCTTTGCAAAGAAAATCACACGTAATTTTAACATTCCTCAGAGACAGCTTTCACCACTGAACTGTCTGCTAGTAATAGAGTTTGCAAATTTACTTTCTTAAAACAAATGTAAAAATAACTTAAGTCTTTAGCATTTTTTGTTTAGATTATGTTGTTTATCAGCTAGTGGTGATAGATCAAATATAATAAACTATTATCATTATTTTCATTACTGCTCTTAGATCTGGTTGAGCAATCATTCAGGCATATAAAGGTAACCTGATCTAGATCAGAAATCAAATCAAAATTTGGATTTTTCAACTTCTTTACTGAAATACCATTTATATGTTATAGAATCCAAGGAGATTATTGGGAAAGCCAAGGAACTTAATAAAAAGTAAAAGTTAAGTGGGGCATGCACAAGTGCAGAAGCTGAGATAACTTAACTCTGGAGCATTGTGTAGTGTTGGGAAGGTGGCACATGCTTCTTTACCTCCAGATCAGTGATTCATACAAATTTTGGGCTGGTGGATGGTGATGAGTGAATGTTAAAAAAAAATATAAATAAAAATCATTGTCCTGCAGACAGCCAGATGTTTGAACACTGACATACTTCTTGGCCAAAGAAGTGCACTATCTTTCAAGAACAAGTTTCCGTATAGTATGCTGACGCTTCCTCTTTCACTCTCATTTGAAAGGAGGAAGTGGGGAGGTGGGTGAAGATTAAATATAGAAAGCAAGTAGTAGTTACTAAAAGTTACTCAAATCTAGTTTGCACTGATCTCGTTAATATCAATGATAAGATGCCATCTGACAATATTTGTTGTCTGTGTCGAACAAATCACTGTTTTTAGACAGTTTTCTAGTAGATGGGAGTGGGTGTTCATCACACCCACAAAATAATTCCCATAAGATGACATCTATTGACATTTTTCTGTGCTGTTTCTTTAGAAGGGCAAATTACAAAATAAATGCAGAATCTGAATTTACCATTGGATGTAATCACAAATAGACAAAGAAAGAAAAAGTTCATCCGGTTATGTTTAGTGCTGTATCTTTTCTATTAAGATACAATAAATAGAGGAATAAAGGTTCCAATTTTGTCAGTCTATCATCTTTTGCAGGAAATTTAAAATTTTCTGTACCAGCGAAGCTGAACACTTTACTAAAGCGATCTGAACATTGAATTGTAAAAGCCTGTGCTGCAATTTTCAGTCCCAAAGCTTCCTTCAGCTCTAAAAGCTCTGTCACTTAATTCAGCTTTGCTTAAGCCACTCTAGGATCCTGTACAACTGAACCTTATCCCAACAAAAACCATGCTGCATTCAGCACAGTTTGACTCTCTTATACAAGTACTTCACCTCTTCTCAGATAGGTCTGGTTTTATGTAAGATTGCACTTGTAGAAGTGGCAGCACTCAAAATATTTTTGAGGGCCACTGTTGTCCGCGTGGGTCTGTGCTCAGACTCCAGTACTACAGCATCAGCCTCTTCAGGATTAGCTTCCAAGTGTTAGAGAAGAGCACTCTCTGACCGAGAGTTGCAATTCTCCAGAACTGTTTATAAGTTTCTAATTTATTTTGAAATTATGCTGTCCTAAGTATAAACATTGATTTTAGGTTTTATTACTGCATTTTCTACTTAATTAGACTACTTTCCCCCCAACCTCAGAATATTAACAATTTATTTTCTTTTCCTTCTGTCTTTTCACTTAGCAAGCTTCTCAGCCTCTTATTCTCCACAGCACAGAATTTGAAGATGCTTTGGCTTCACTCTGCATTATGGTTGCACCTATGGCTCCGCACATTGCATCAGAGATGTGGAAAGGTATTTATAGAAATAAACTTTTTATTGATGTTCCAGGAAAAAAAGCAAAAGGTTTGCAAAAATGACTTTAACATAGTACACGCGTCACTTATCCTGAATTCTGTATCTATCTGGTCACCTTCTGTTATAATTCCTAAACAAACTTGAAACTTGTGGTGTTCCCAGATCTCTCGTTTTGCTTTTAGTTTCTTTCCCCTTGCATACCAAGGTGGATTTCTTGAGACTAGGCAGAGAAAGGAAGAAGAAAGAAAAATTCAAGACAGGACTTGCATGAGGAATTTATATGTCAGCTGGTAGCTGTTCCTGTGTATGGACGGCAGTATTAAGAGCTGAACATAAGGATAGAAACAGCCCTTTTTAAACTACTGTTTCATAGTCTTCAGACTACAAATATTTTCTTTCAGGAATTCAGGCAAAGAGAACCATGTCAGAGGGCTTTATGCTAAAAAGACTAAAGAAGTATTCAAAAAAAATCCTACTCTTGTAAAATTCTCCAGAGGCTGAGGGACCTTATGCTGCAAATTAACCTCTTGTGGAGATTGGGAATGGTAGACGGGAAATGTTTTTTAAGATCTGTCACAGTTGTAAACCTTGAGGTCTGAATCCCAAGTGGGCTAAGTTGCAGGGTGCTGCTACAGTTAAAGCCTGTGAAATGAGGGTGTGCATGCTAGAGTTCAGCAGTTGCTTTTAAGATTTACTGGGAGAAGTCCCAAGACATATGTGGGAAGATAATAATATATTCTGCATTAAGACTGGCCACAAATTGATATGGTTTTGGACCTAATGTTAGCTTTCAGATGCTGTTTTAACAGTTTTCCTAAAACTTTGTGCATTCAAGTGTTTACAGAGTAGAGCAACTAAATTGCTTACATTTCAGAGTTGTGCATGGCCCTGTAAAAACGTTAACTGCCAAAGAGAGGCTGCCTTTGTTCAAAGCAGTAGCACTGGGGCAGAGACTCTGGAAACGGCAAGATATATGAGGGAGAGTGGGTTTTTTTTCTGTTTTCATTTCATGTTTATAAGATGTCTTAATACAAGCTTAATTGTTTAGAATTAAGAGTGACATCAGACATGATCCATCTGGAGAAAGCCACTTCTGGTCAATATTTTCTTGCAATATGAAGTACCACCTAATTAAAACTATACTTCAATGGAAATGATTGCTACGACTTTGTTTTCCACATTGATTGAGACGGAGGCAGAAAAGGTCCAGGCTAATTACTTAAAAACTGCCTTGTGAACTTGAAATTCAGATACATGTTAGGGAATACAGAATTATCAAATACCTTTGGTAAAATGACAAAGAACACTAGGATGTCTTAATTAACATAACTTGTCAAATGTAAAGCTTAATCCTGTAACGCTTTGAATGTTAGAGAAGGCCTGTCAAAGCCAGGCCTAATGGGGCTTTGAGCAACCTGGCCTAGTGGAAGTTGTCCCTGCCTATGGCAGGGTGGTTGGAACTAGATAGTCTTTAAGGTCCCTTCCAAGCCAAATCATTCTGTGATTCTAAGTCTTTTCTTAATACGAAAATCACTGAAGTATGATAAACATTTTCTGAATATCTTTCTGATGTAAAAATGAGAAGGAAACATATAAAAATTGGTGGGGTATTGTCCTCAGCTTCTGTCTGCATTTAAAGATAAAATTTTGCTTGTGTGGTCCAAAGACTGTGCATAGTAATTCAGTGCAGCTAACATACAAAAACACTGTGTGGTGATCAGTGCCTGAATAATTTTATGACTAGACATGAAAATCACAATCTCTTTTAGCATGGTCATCATTACATTACATCAAAGTTATTAAACAATTTTATCAGGAGAACATATGTACATTTAACTACCACGTTGTGGTAAGAAGACTTTCATTATTTTGAAATAGCCAACATCTAGCAATTCTGTCCTGGGATTGTGATTTCTGGTGAAAAATGTCCAACTATAGTCTAGAGAAAGATTCCCCAAGGTCATGTTCTGAACTGCACTCCGGTTCCACCAAGTCTTGTTGCTTCTGATGTAACCAATTTCTTAACTTTATTATATATAGGTGATGATGCTTTCTTATTTTAAGTAATTTCATTATAAAAATAAAGCTTTCTAAATGCTCTCTTTAGTTTTCTTTTTGTTTTAGTTCTCCATGCACACTCCGAATAAGTCTCTCTTTTTGTACCTTGGCTTTGCATCTAAATGTAGGGATAGTGCTGCTTCCTCCCTTGTAAACTAGTCAGGAAAAAGGACTTTGTATATTATTAGCTCTATAAATAGCACCTATAGCAGTGGAGCCTCAAACTTTGATGAAAGCCTCTGTCTGCTATTATAATGCCAATAATAAACAACACATAAGCAATGTATTTATAATTAAACACTGACGTTTCATGATAAAATAACTTGTACACCGCCTTTACATTTTGTTTGGTTTAGTGATTAAAACAAGGAGCATTTTTTCTTTCTACGGGGGAAAATTAAACTGGAAAATTTGGAAGCCCTGTAGTTAATATCAAACAGATAATTTTGCACCTGAGTAGGAACACTGGTAGGAAGAGTGACTTGTATCAACTCTGAACCACATTACGCTTCCTTGTGTATTTAAGCTTTTTTTGAAGAAAAATAATTTTGCTTTCTTATTAGTGTTTCTCATTAGAAAGTGTTTGCTACATAATGAGATATGCTTCATATTAATTTTACTATGGCCTTGGAAGAGAGATAAGGAAAGAGCAGTCTCATTAATTTTGACTGTTTTCATTGTGCTTCACAGGATGAATAATACTTTACTGTTGCATTGTAATCTCTCCTTTTATGCTTTTCTGATTACTGATTATGGTCAAGAAACATTTAAGAAATTACATTGGAACTTAAAACTAAATGTGAAATAATAACAACCTACAATAAGACCCTGACTTAATGTATTATATTATATAAAGTTAATTCTGTGAAAGATTTGAAGATAATTAAACCATAGAACTATAGAACTTTCTGGCTAGACACCCAGAATGAGGCTTTGGGTATTAAAATAACTTTTGAACAACTAGAAGCTTTTCTGCAGGTGCAAATAGTATTTTTTTCAGTTTAAATGACAGCTGTTCTGAAAATTGAAAAAAATCAACCAACCCTTTTCCTTTTACAGTTTTGGAATAAAAAGCTAGGCAAAAGAGACTATAAATATTAGAATCGTTAAGTTTCTAATGTCCAAAAATAACTAATACTGTTAATTTTATTCAGTAGTTACATAAGATATTCTCCTCTGCTCAAAAAAAATGTTTAACTGCAAAACATGATAAATTTTAAGTATCTAACAAATTTTCTTAAATACTTACATTCTGAATGCATTTATGCTTAAATAACAAAAAATGCTTTTTTGCATTTAAATTGATTTCCATTTGAATCTAAGAGCTATTTGACACAGCTTGCAATGAAATGTAAAAAAAAAATAATTGCAAGTCAGTGTTTTCTAATACAATAGCTTGTAAACATTAAAACTTGGCTAAGTGTATAATATGTATGTAGTTATCTCTTGGTTAGCAAAACAGTTATTTGCAGCTGGATTTAACTGCAAATCAGTCCATCTTGATTACCAACTAATGAAAATATTAGGGAAATTACAAAGATTATTTTAGAGTTTTAATTAAACATGCTTTGCTTGAATTTTAAGTAATGACTAGCATCACTGATAGTAATTTTGATTGTAATAATACTATCCCGATTTGCAAGAGTTGCATCAGAGTTCATTTGAAATTTTAGCTTTTTAGTCCACTATGTTTTCTGTGTTAGTCTGTTGATAAACTTTGCAAACTCAGAACTGCAGTTTGATATCCCAAGGATGCTTCTGATGTAATGTGCAACTTTTAAGTATAACTAAAAATAAAACTAAATAGATTCAAGGTACAGCGATTTTTGTTTTTCTGCAGCTAAAGAATTATTCTCCCATGGAGTTTAGTTTATATGTGACCATCTTGTTTTCATGTATCAGGTAGAAATGAGTTTGGTCTCTCTGTGAGCTGGTTGAAGAGCATACTTCAGTATTGGCAGTGAATATTTCCAGTCTGAGTGAAGGAAAAGCTGCTTGAATGCTCTTTGACAAGTGCCTCACCTTTCAGCAGCTGAACAATAGTAATGCACTGCTTTGATATTTTGTCTGTGAAAGAGTTCTTTCTCCTGCTTAGAGGAGGAACAGTTTTCAGTATTTTGGTGTGTTAATGTAATGGTCCTAATTGTGTAGTGAACACACTGGTTTATCACTTAATAACATAATAAGAGACTGTAGCCCCTCAGTGTGGGAAGAGTTCATCCGGCTGATATCTTGGCAGTTTATGAACACTAACAGGATGAGGAAACCTGTTTCCTTCCTGAAACCTTGTATCTGAGGAATATACAGACACCATTTGAGACATTTGTTGGTTTTTTTTAGTTTGTTTATAGTAGTACAGTATTTTGCTGTCCAGACAAGGATATGAAACTGCTTATTGTGAGTTGTTAAATTTTTATTAGAGATGGCACATGAAAGATATATACTGATGATAAACACATCTTAAGATATTTTGAAATTAAACATAATTGTTGGAATTTGTAGTGGTATAATTGTCTTAGCAACATTTTTAGCAACAATGCAGTGGCTCTTTTGCAAGAATTTTTTTGTCTGAATTCAGTCCTTGCTCAAGAAGGCTTCTGTAAAGAATAGAGCTGAGTAGAAGCTAATTGATGTTACAGATTTTAATTGAAAATCTGAATGCAGAAATCTCCCTTCACAAGTCCAAGAAGAAACACAATTTGGAATTAAAAAGATATTTTTTTCCTCCAAGAGTAATAACCCAAAGTTGAAGGATTGTAAGTCCATACAAACGGAGGAAGGCAGATATTCTTCTGAAGGTTAAAAGGAATCACATGGAGTTTGCTGAATTGGAAACACGTTCTAGAGTTGGCTTTTAGTAACCCAGGCTTTTCACAACGCACCTTGGTGCTCCACATCTGTCACTAGAGAACATATAAAATCAATCCCCTAATACGGTATTGAGTAAATGTAAATTTTCCTGACTTTACCCAGTTCTGTCCTACTATACCAGTAGTATAATACAGTTTTTGTCAGAGCTGTCTGGAAAAAGATCTTACTGTGTTGCTGTAATTTCTCTGAGATTGCAGACCATTTCACACATGACTGACAGACATATTCCTCCTGGGCTGCAGAAAGGTATTTCAGATATGCAACTTGCCTGAATCTGTCAAATAGGAAGATTCATTAAATAGTAAAAAAACATATCAAGAACAAGGTAATGTGGTAACAATCCTGTCCTTGGAAGAGGCTGTAGAGGCAAGTAAGATACTGAACCCGAATGCATCTCCACTTAACCTTACCCACTCCTGCTCTAAGCTTTTTAAAAATTTTATTTGCTTGTTGGCTAGTGTGGTGGATTTTTACTTAACACAGATTTCAGTTGTTCTGATTTTGCTAAACCCAAAAGTTATCAGCATTTGGATAATGTACCCTCATAGTCACCTTATGCTGCCTGCTCTGATCATCTTCTATCTCCTGTTAGAAAATTCCTAGTCGTAAACTCTGATACTGGCGCTGCTTCAGATGCCTTCATTAACTTCCTTTTATCACCCGTCATGACTTCAGTCCTCCTTGCCTTTTCTGCTTTGTTAACCTCTCTGTGCTGGCACTTGTCCTATGCCAGCTCTTACTCAGTTTACTCCATAATCACATCTTTTTCTCTTGCCTATTTAATTTTGTGTCCAACTAGCTGCACTCTTGCTGGAATTTTACAGATAATTTTTTCTAGTGGTCTTTTTCTGTAAGACTAGAATTACCTTGCTGTCCTAATTTACCTTGCTGATACAGGATTGCTTCCACATCTTCCTTCTTAAATCTCTTTAAAATGAGAATCTGCTCTTCCCTGCCAAATAGCAGGGGAGGTATTATGCTTATGGAATACTCATGTAATGCTAATAAAACATAGCCATGGGCTGAAACGTTGTTAGACTTGTCCTGTCCCCTCATTCTCTTAACTCACTCATTTACAGTAATACACGTTTATCTTGGTGTTTTAACTTGGGATCCAATGCTGTGAGTTACTGGTTAGGGAAATCTTGCTCTAGTATTAGCTTGCTAGTCAGTAAAAGTCAATTGAAGCAGATCCAATGACAGGACCAGGGCTTCAGATTGAGCACAGGTATTGTCTTTGATCTGTCCTGTGTGGCTGTACAGATGTGTATATATAAGTAAACAGCTTACAGTAAGTAACAGTGTACTCAGTTACTGTCTGATGTAGGCTTTCTGTCCTACATCTGCAGGAGAATCTATAGCCATAAAAGCAAAATACACCAAAAAATATAAAGCAGAATGCACACTGCTTCATAAAGTGCACTTCACTAGGTGCTTTCCAGTACAATAAGACAGTAAAATAGGTTTTTAATGTTTTCACAATAGAAGTCTGTGAAATGGTCAGTTCTCAACTTCTCAAAGAGTGCATTTGTGTCGTGTCTCAGAATAAAATGGGAAGGCTGGAGGAGGATTCTGTCTGGGTCCTGACAAGTGGACCATCGCCATTCTGGGTCATGATGATGAATTTTCTGGTCTTGTGTGTTGCATTTTGAAAATACAAAGCAAATCATGGCATTTTCTGTGTTCTGCAGCTCACAGAATGTGAATTAAGACAGGAAGCCAAGCAGGCAACATAACTGAAACCTTCATTTTTATTTCCTGTCAAACTCTGTTTTCTGAAACTAGTTCTGTTAACTTTCACGCTTTTTTTTTTTTTTTAATATGGATGACCTTGTAGCTCATTTTGTAGCAAGAAAATGAACCAAAAGATCGACATTGTGCTTAGTCACACTTTATCTGCTTTAGAATATGTTTTAAAATTATTGTTAGTAGGATTATTAGGAATGACAGCCTCCACACGGATTAAAAGTGACCCTGGTTTTGCTTTCATAGATAGAAGCTCTTGACCTATATCAGAGAGTGGTTTTCAAATAGTTTGAAGAATCCACTTCAACAGGAAACTAAGGAGTGGTCAGTATGCACACTTCTGCCACAAGGCATGTGATCGGTTGGAAAGAAATGAGCTCATCTGGATGTTCAAAAGCCAAAAAGGGAAGAATCTAGCAGCTATTGCCTTTAAAGTCAGCGTGATAATGAATCACCAGTGTGAAGGGTTTTTTTCTGCTTGAGCTCCTATCTTTTGCTGTTTTAGTTTCTGAGCTACTGATGCAAGAGAAAAAAAAATACACAAAACGAGATCCACTGAAGTGTTTTAATCAATTATTTACCTAATAAGATTGTGACTTAGTTGTTACTCTCAGGAAATGTGCATATTCTTGCTTGCCATTAGAAATAGCTCCCACCAGTTCACCCCACTGCCCCTTTCTGAATCATTTGCAAATAGCAAGGCTGTGTGTCATTTTACCAAAGTGCTTTGTCCAAAAAAGTGCTGACAAAAATCTGGTGGATTTTTCTGGAGGATGCATTCTCTTTATGTCTCTGCTGTTATTCACTGTATTAGTCTAAACAATCCAGCTAGGTAAATTCATGTATGTATTATGCATGAGTTGGTTTTGCTCTCGTGTCTGCCATTGTGCTGTGTTTTGAGCATCTCCAGGTACCTCAGTCTCAACAATGAATCTTGTATTGATGGGTTTTATGCTTTTGCTGGAGTTTCCCTAAATCAGATGAGATTTCCTATACATTTTGCAGTTATGAATGAAGCATGTGCTCATATAAAGTTTTAGACTGCATTCACGAGAACATAGAGAATGTTTTTAATTTTAAAATCCCTTGGCTTTGTGAGAATCACAAGAGCAATCCTCATCAATATTGATCATATTTGACAGCCTCTTGTTAAGTGCAATCCTTTTATTTTGTCCTACAGCTAGAGTAAACAGCAACATATATCCCACTCAGAAGCCTTTATTTGGTTAAAGAATGCAGCTTCAGAATGAATTACAACGTGTTCTCCTATTACTTAAACAAATCAGGAATGAATTGTCCTGGGGAAGAGTAAAGCCTATTTAATAAAGAGAGATCACTTATAGCCATTTTAGGATTTTTTTTAAATAAAAACAAAGGATAAAGTGTTTCAGAATGTGAAAGGATAGCAAGATGTGCAAAGTATTCTTATGTAGCACCTTTAATTTGTAAGAAAATAGATACTTCACAAAGTAAGAGAAAATCTTTCAAGTAGCTTGACTTGCAAATTTCAAACCTACCCAGCATAATACAGATGGTAAAAGAATAAGCCATAATTGTTTATCTTTTTGATTGAGTTGTTAGTAAAACTTTAATCAAACTGGTGGTGTTATTGAAAAAAAAAACCCGCAGTATTATGATTGACTTCTAGAAGTAGAGGTCAGTTTGTGTTGCAGTATTACAATTTAAAATAATAAATAGTGGTCTTCTGGGCTTTTGGCAAAGTTATGGAGTGCTAATCAAAATTTCAAATATGCCCACATTGTTCATGTTAGCATCCCTACGCATGGTATAAAACAAGTGCTTCAAAGATGTCTGTCTTTCTGTTTATAATGTGCTGTATGCTAATCTAAACAATGTTATTTCCCCCTAAGGGACTTGCTTTTAAAGTCAATTCTATTCTGATTTTATTTATCAAACAAATTCCAAAGATCCAATGGTCTGGTTACAGTACAGCTGAATGTTTGATGGGTTTCATTTTCCAGGTTTGGCACATATGCAGAATAAACTTTGTCCTCATCATCACTGGAACGTTGATGTGCTGCATCAGTCCTGGCCTGAAGTAGACCCAAAATACCTTCAGCCATCAGATGTTGTGGAGATGTCTGTTCTGGTAAGAACGTTTTCATTTATTTTCAGTAGTGGCCAGCTGACGCCTTATGAGTTCAGAGGATGACAAAACTTCTGCTCTTGTGGAAGTCAAATCCCTTCTTAGGTGGTTCAGTGAAAGATCAGATAGAATAGAAGCTGCAATTATCATATTACCATTGTGCTGAGTAATTAAAATGGTTTCCTAAGTGGAAAAATGTAGCAAATCTGGAAGACAGGTGATCTAAATATAAATCTTTTTGAGTGACTGCATTTTAGCAACCTGTGGAGATTTGACCAGTGAATAGCTGTGGGCAAGGACAGTACAGTCAAAACTACAATCAAAATACAAGTACCTCCAGGTTTTTTGCCTAACAGTGCACTATGAACTTGGTCCTGTACAAAAATGTATAATTAGGTGACATTTCTTCTGGTACCTGTAGTGCTATGGTTGCCTAATACAACTTATCGTAAACTGGGTTAAGTTGTGATTTTTGCCAAACGATGTTTCCTGTCTGCCTCGAGCTGAATTTTTGGCACATTTCAGCAGAGTGTATTTACAGGAATGAGGTTGAGAAAAGACAGGTATCTTTGCTAATGTTAGAACTGCATTCTGGGTTCTCTTTGAGCTCTAATACCTTTGTGGTCTAGGGCAAGAGCTAGCAGTTTAGTAGAAGAGTGGACATACAACTACATTTAGTTAACCTGTAATTTTCCAACTGTAAGTGCACATCCACAGTGTAGTTTACTGTCTTTTTTCCTATGTCTCTAGTTACCTAGTCTGCATGCAGCATGCTCCCACGCAGCATGAAGGTTTGCTGTTACATAGTGCACAGTGGCTGGAGGTGCCACTGCAGGCCATGGAGGGACTGCCTGGAGCCAAGGGCAGGGCATCCAGGAGTAATGCCTCAGCTCTTCCACCAACTGACTCCTGCTCAACTTGCATTCAAGTTCTTCATGTTCAAGCATTATGATAGTCTGTAATTACCTAGCTGCATACTATTAGATCGGCAGGACTCTTGCTTTTTTCACCATTCACCAAATAATAACCTTTAATATACCATGCAGACATTCTAAACTTAAATGTTTTAAATTAAATTAAATGTTTCCATTTAAACAGTTTTTGTGTTTCTGGACTTTGAAAGAGATGGAGCCTCTAGAAGAAATGTCATTTGGTCTTGTAGAACAGCATGTTCTCTGTGTGTGTGTAAGAGAAACAGAAGCAGTGCATTTTATCTATATTTTATTCTGTTAGCTCCTTTGGGTAGAAGGAGTAAGGCACTTGCATCATTTTTGTTCAGCTGGTTTTTTTTGAGGAGGGAAGAGATTGGTTGCATTTAGGGGAAGTCATGTTGCTGTAGATTTCCTTAATCAAAGTATCTTTGCAAATAATTTCATATCTTGCCAGATCTCTCATTCAGTCCACTTCAACAGAATGAGAAATGCTGCTAAAACACTAATTTTTCTAACATTCAACGTACATCCTTAGCAGAGGCCACAGGAAATTTTCAATTGGCATCTTTCCCCAGACCAAGGAGAAGGACTCAAGTGTCAGCTGGGGTTAATAGCAGACTTAGCCTAATATTCCCTGTGGGTTTATTGCTTGCTTGCTTTCTTTAAGTGATAAGCATTTATTTATATCAGTAAAAAGGTCATATATCCATAAAAATCTTCACTGAGGTATAATCATTTTGCTCAAGCTTAAAATAAACCTTCACCTTCAAGCACAGCTAGCAAACATCTTAAATTCCAGTGTTCAGCTTATAAGGAAGTAATGAATGAGAAAATGTGTAATTATAGAAACTTCTTTGCAACTGTGGTTAAAGCAAATGTGTTATTAAATATATCTTTAAAATAAAAACTTCAGCAATATAGGGAAAACTCTGAACTCAATGTTTTTAAGACTATATAACTGTACATGAAAACGCCTAAACATTTCACTGATATTTTTCTGCTGACGTTAAAACTGCCTTCTCAAAAAAACAAACCAGAAAAATAAAAATTAATTTTGCTTTAAGCAACCATTATGAAAATTATTTTTGTTTCTTTTCCTGGTTGACTTTGCTGAAACCACAGCCGTGTGTAGAAGTCTTGTAATAAGAGAAAAAGCAACCCTTGTGTTCTCAGTCATATATTCATGGAAGAATATGATGTATGTAAATACCTTCCTTAGTTCTGAGAAAGCAAGTGACTGGAAGACCAGAGATGAGTTCCTTTTCAAACTAGGAATAATTTTTAAAAATAGTGCCTAGGGGGTGTACCTGGCTTTCTACTGTAAGAGTAAGGCAAAAGGGAAATACAGAGAAGCAGGGAGAGATCATAAATGCGAGTATTTTAAAGTCTTGTGGGCACTGTAGGTTTTTGTATGGCTGTAAAAATAAATTGCCCTCATTAAACCAAGAAACACTCGACATACAGAGGAACTGGTTAGTTGCAAAGAGGCAGTGTCTCTTCACAAGGCTGCACAGTCAAACTGAGTCTTTGGGCCACAACCCTATTCTTCTCAAGACATCAAACTGCCTCAGGCTGCCAGGGATTTGACTGCTGAGACATTATGGGTTTATTTCTCTTGACACAAAATACTTCATTATTTCCTGTCTGTGCTGGCGTTATGTCTTTCCATATTTAACCCAAAGCAGCAAAAGCAACCAACTCACTGCGTCTCTGGCTGATACAGTACAGACTGCCTACAAGACAGACATTTAAATTCACTGGATGTTCATGGGTATCTCTTCCTCTAAACGTTATTGCGAAGTTGAATATTTTTAATCATACCATATATTGTTAATGCTGTGAAAAATCTGACCTGAATGTAGTGTGCATTTCATCCTATAGAACACACTTCTGACTAGCATTCCTCACATTTTCTAGGTGGTGCAGAACTGTTAGCAGCTATGGTCTTGTAATTGATGTTTTTATAAAATAAAAATTGGTGTCATTTTTCTTGCTTTGGCATATGAGGAAGGCTTAAAAGTGCACAGATTTTCCTTTTTACTTCTCTGAAGGATTATGCATCAATGATAAAAAAAATATTTGAGTTGAACTAGAAATTCTTCTCTGCAGCCTCCAAGTGCTTATTTTTCAGTCTTTTGTGATTTCATTTCATCCTTTATAACCTCTCTAGTTCCCTCTAGCTCCCTCTAGATCCAAAATAGTCTAAAATGTCAAATGTTTAAAACAAAAAAAAAGGAAGAAAATTCAACAGCTTCCTTCCTCAGGGGAAGAAAGTACCCAAGCCTCACATATTTCTCCTCTTGCAGTTTGACATGGTTTTTCAGAGAACCAAGGCTTCCAGCACCCAAGTTTCTTGTGCTGGCACTTTCACCTGGAGCTGCCAAGTGTTATGATGGTCTAGTGAGATACAGAGGGAGAGATGGAGGCATAGAAGGAGATATTTGTTCTGCTGAGAATCTAACACCTCGACTAAAAGAATACATGAATAGGATGCTTGTTACGCACAACATGTGATTAAAACTGCAGGTGCTTATTTTAAGAATGATGTTAATACATTTGACTTTGCATTATGATGCCTACAATATAATGAAAGCCATGCTTTCAATATATATAAACAACCAATATATTGTTTCATTATAATTCAGTACATAAAATAACCAATCTGCCCTTTGATAGGATTTTTGGACTCAGCTCACAGTGTGGTGTGGGAAGATGAGGAGAGGTGCTGTGGGAAGGTACACAGTGTCAGGTCACCCAGACTTCTCAACCTTTCTAGGAAAACACAACAGCTAGCAGTGATTTATTTACTAAGTTGATTTAGACTGCTTGGCTTTTCTGTTGAGAACGGCACCAAATAGGCTAGTTGTGGCAAGTTTCCCCCTGCCAACATCCATCCACTGGGACATATTAATTTGCATCACGGAAGACAGTGAATGACATTTTAACTAAGCAGGCATAGTTTTGAACTGCGGGCTGTGTGTCCTAGCAGCGAGCTGACAGGCTTGCTTTATATCCTCACTAAAACTGTATCCATTTGGATTTTACCATTTTCTTTTTTTCCTGTGGAATGCATTTCTTCTCTGAAGTGCCCTGTCAGAAAGAACAACTTGTATTTATTTTTCTCAAAAGCTTTAAAAATTAACTCATCTGTATTTTTCAAGGGATTTACTTTAACTGAGGTGCTTAAGACAAATTTTAACACAGCCAGCTTTTCACAATACCATGTTATGGATGCATGTAAGAATAGTTAAAAGCCTATCTACGTTATAACTGCAAATGAAAATCAAGTCTAGTCAAAAAACTGGAAATGACTCATCCCAGCTGCATTTCAGACTTCATCTTGTTTCTTAAAAATCTGTCCCTACTTCCTCTCAGAAAATTGCACAGATTATTTTATTTTCAATAAAATACAAACTAGGTAAGTGAAGTAGGTCTCCCTCATTTGTGGTATGTTGCACATGTGTATCCTGGATGAAATCCAAGTGAAAACCAAGCTGTGTGCATTTTTATGTCCAAGTTGTGTGAAGCAACATATGTTCATTTTAGATGGCTGAAAAATCATTACAGTGATGTCTAAAGGTCAAAGATCTGCAGTACCTGCAGCAGATTTTTATGCAAGTGATTTGATTGAACTGGATTATAAAATACAAATTATTTAGTTTGCTACAATGTGGGATTGATATTCTTTTCATTAATCTAATGAAAGTACTCCATATAAATCTGAAAGCTTTTGTAATAATGAATTTTATGCCAATTCCAGAAAGGCACTCGGTAAGGCTCTGTAGTCTCTGTCTGTTATCTAGTGTTACTGGATGACTGAAAGAATTTATAAGACCATTTTATAAATTAAGGTGATTCCCACTAAAGGTCTTACTCAGTTTTAGTTATGTGATTCTTCCCTGCTGATGTAAAGCCAGTATAGAAGCTGCTCTGAAAGCCAGCCACACACAAGAAAGCATTACTTTATGAGTGGTTGTCAACTTTGTGGTCAGTGTTGGCTTAATGAGTCATGCGTTTAGTAAAATGCAACACAAAGAAATTAAAGCCTATTTTTCTAAATGTGATCAATGACGAATCTTTCAGATATCTTTTCAGCCACAGATATTTTTACTTTAATAAATCTTGCATTTGAATCTCTGCAAGGAATCGCTTAGCTGTAAAGAATCCAAATTGCAGCCCTGAAGTATGTACAAACCAAGATTCTCACCTGACAAACCATTATATTCGCTCTCATTATTCAGCTTGTGTAACTACCATGTTTTTTAACTTAAAAGATTGCTGCACTGCATAGTCACATGCTGCTTGCTATCTTCAAAATTAAGACTTCCTTTGGCCAGTTCTTCAGTTTTCCTTGAGGATCATGAGTCAGAGTTTCAATCTCTTATTTTATGGTAGATGGACAGGAGGTATGCAGAATGTTATCCTCTACTTAGAAAGTTTGATGTTGGAGAAAAGAGAGTTTGATCCACTCCCCTTCTTCCCCATGTAACAGGACAGATTGGATTCAGGAAATGAAATTGCATAAATCAGTGTAGTAACTTCTGTTTTTTCTTGTTTTCATGTGTCTCTTTTTCAGATCAATAACAAAGCTTGCGGCAAAGTTTTTGTGCCTCAGCAAGCATCCCGCAATTTTGAAGAAGTCCACGAGCTAATTCTTCAAAGTGAACTTGGAGTCAAGCATCTCCAGGGACGGACCATTAAAAAGGCCTTTCTGTCTCCCAGAACTGCCCTTATCAACTTCTTAGTGCAAGAATAGCAAAGGCTTTGCTGGGGGTGTAAAAGGGAACTGGAATCTTTCGAGATGAAACCAATTCAGAAATACCAGTTATGGTTATTTAAATCTCATGTAACGGTGGGGAAGAAATGTTATTAAAATCAGATTGCTGCTAAATCTTCATTTCAACGTGAAGAAAAGCACAGAATTAAAGTTTCTTATCAAGTCACGGTAAGGTGCTATTTTTCTGTATTTTCTGGGAGAATGAGAAGGAAGCACAGAAGATTGTAACAGAATGTAAATGGTGTAAAGCGCATGGGGTTTAGTGTCAGTCTCATTAATATATCTTATCAGAAAGTTGACTTGGCTAAATGCAGAGGCATAAATACGATTCAAGGACTAAACAACTGACCTGAGCATGTGCTACACCAAAACGTTAGGTGTGCTACAGTCAGTCTTTGCTCCCTATACCTCATGTTTGGGTACCCTACCATTAACTAACATTTTAAGTTGTAAGGAAACATTATTGCAGAGTGTTAATTTAAAAAAAGATTTCTTTAGCACTGGCAGGTGGCCTTGGGCACAGCAGGTAGCCAGAATGAGGTGGTTTGATACATTTCACATATGTTTCAGAGCCAAGCCAAGAAAAAGGTCAGAGTACTTAGCCAAGCCCTGCCTTAGCCAGGATCCTCCTTCCTTGCTGGCATATTTCTGATGGCTCATACATGAGAAGTTCAACTTCAGCAAAGTGCCAGCGGTTGCTTCTGCACGGAATAGACTAGAAGTTACTTCCTTTGCATGAGCTATTTCAGAGACTTTTGAAGGATTCAATAAAGAGATGAGTCGGCTGCTGGAAATACAGCAGTGGAGAAGGCAGACAGCATGCTTTTTGCCTCTACTCTTAGTTCTTATAGTGCCTAGATCATAAAACTTGAATCGAAATTCTTTTGTTTTTTTTCTGAGGCGTTCATTAAGTGGAAATAGCCATCATGTTTCTAAAAATCAATCAGACTTTCATAAAACACAAAGCCATTCTCACACTTCATTTCAACCATTTTATTTGTACACTGCATTGCTGTTATATCCACATGGAAATGTTTATTGTATTTAGCAAATGCTTGAGAAAGGGTTTCCAAAGAAACAATTACAGGGTTCATTGTGTAAGAATGTCTTTTCTTTAACAGCCTTTAAACTAAGCAGTCCAATAAACCAGCCATTTATGAGCCATTCTGACAGTCGGCAACCAGCTAGGCAAATACGGAGGTCTGTATTGACCCTCTAGCCCCACAGTCACCCAGACTCTCTGTTAGATCAAAAGGAAAGCAACAAAAGTCTCCCACGTAACAGTAAATAAGTTCAGTAGATCCTAAGCAACTGGTGTAAGTACCAGCTAAGCAAAACCAATATTCACTTTGGGTTTATGCATTTTTGGTACCAAACATATAGCTACATAACAGAAATGTCAGGCTCAGTGAGCAGGTTTGGCTCTACACGCCCCTACTTCTGCAACAAAACTCTTCTGATTTCTGCTTCCTCCTGCACCACACTTGTGCAGATTTTCTCTCCAGCAGTCCTTTGACACAAGAATGACTAAGAAATTGAATATTTATAATGAAGACACGGTCTTTGCAGTTTTAAGACTCCCAAAAATCTCAGCCACAAAGGAATGCATTCAGACATTCAAACACAGGCCTTTAGTTGGAGTTAAAATAATTTGAATTCCAGTGCCTGCCTGACATATATGTTGTTATAAATTCATAAAACTCCTGTTCAGAAGCCCCTAAAAGGACTGTGAAAGAGATCCTTTAAAGTAAGACCTGTAGCACAGCTCAGTCCTGTTTTTTTTTTTCTATATAAAAGTTTAACACACCCTGTGGAACCATTTTGACAGAGATTTTCTTTGGGGGAAAGGTGACATGTTTGGTGCAAATAAAAACGTCTAAAATTTACACGGATGAAGAAGATGTTGTAAGCCCAGCAGCCCTACGGTGCCTTTAAACAAAAGCTGCAGTCACTCCAGGGCTGAGCAGCAGCCCACAATGTTTATTGCTGTTAGCACTGGCGGGTATTTGCTCTTGCCGGAGGAAGTGAATTGTACATGTCACTTGGTGATTCAGGCAAAAATCAAAATAAGGAATGGACTTCTACAGGCTAAAAAAGGAAAGGTAGTGAACAGCAGTTGATAACAAGTGCATGGTCAGAAGTCATGCCAGTGTGTTTACAGTAAGTTGAAATTCAGTGTGGTCTAGGGAATACAAAATGGTGGTGAAAGAGTGAGTGAGAGAGGTGATACAGAAAGTCTGCCAGAGCCTAATCCCCTGGTAAGCGTATGTTTGAAAGATGGCAGTGGTGCCAGCTGTGGAGTTGTGCAGTCGTCCTGATAGCTGCTGACACTTCTTAGGAGGTTGACCTGCTCTGAAGCACGACTCATTTGTCTTATGATAATTGTGACTCACAGGTTTGGTCTGTGCCTAGATGGGACTGGTACTGATACACAGGCTGTAGCCTGTTACCAAGCCTTTTTAAAATAACTTATCACAGATGCTTCTTGTTTATTTAACAGTGGTACAGATGCATCTTTATGCTGAAGGTGGAACAAAGCGTTATCACAGATTGTGTGCCCTTGAAGAGTTCAGTGGCTAAATACTATGAAAGTTTTAAATCTGGGAGGGGATACTTGAGAAGTGTGAAGGAAAGGTGCTGATGGGCGATCAATCGAATTGCACTGCGTTTGTCACACATATTAAAATAGATACGATGCCACTGTCCCTTGTGAAGTGATGAGCCAAAGAAGATGTGGGAGATTTGCTAAACCCAGTGGATAGACCTGGGACAAACTACTCCAAGAAAGGGATTCACGACACGTCAGGGGCATTTTCTGTATCCTGTCACTCAAGGTGGTGGAAGACTGGTCAGGGCACTGATCCAGACTATATCAAATTTCCATCTTAAGTAATATAAAATTAAAAAAAAAATATACTGGCACAATTTCTACCCCAAAATTGTTCATGCAGCTGAATTTCCATAAAGTCCAGCCTTCAAACATTGATTCTGGAAGTATAAAAATTGGCAAAGTCCTGAAAGGTCACTAAGTACTTTTCCAATGCCATTGATTTCATGAGAAAGGATCTCATATGCTGAGGTGATGGGAGCACTGAACTGTGCTGGAAGACACCACCATGTAGAAAAGCGTGCGATTAGGCATGGGTGTTTCATAGTCCTGCCCAGTGACTGTGGTGTCATGAATGTGCCAGTGCTGCTTTGCAGTAAGGCAGTAGGGCTTTTTACATCGTGTTAAGGAACAAGGTTACAGCTTAGGTCACTAGCTAAGGCAGTTCTCTGGCCAGGTTGTGCCACCTATGCTTCCAAAAAAAAAAACCTACACAAGGGCACTGCTGAACAAGCATGTATTTTTCCATGCCCTTCAGCAGAATCCAGGCATGGAGATTTGGTGCAAAATAAAATCTGTGCGCTCTCTTGGTGGTTTACCGGATTAAAGTAATGCCTCAGAACTGACATGTGTTTAATGATGGCTTTTTCTGATCTGACTTTGTAAAAGCCTGATTGTTTCTTCTGGAGGGAGAAATTCCACAGATAATACAGGTCATACAATCTCTCTTTCTTTGTCTCTCCTTCCATATAAAGCCTCACAGAAAGCTATTCCTCTTCCCTAAACTTTTTACAATCACTAGAACTAGAAAGAATGTTAATTAGAGTTTTGCTGGTTGTTCCTTCCTAGGGAGGTCTGAAGTACATAATTTTTTTCGAAAAGCTTAGCTATAAATGAAGACGGGGAGAAATCACTGGGTTTTTTTCTAGTTTTGCAATACTTACTACAGTTTACAGAGAGGGGATTGGCTTTATTTATGTGTATTTATCAACTTGGAAGAGCACATATGCTGGTTTTGATGGATGCTTTCTCTGCTTGTTTATTTCTTCAGTCCCCAGCTATTACAATCTGAGCTGATTTTGTATCAAAGGGCTGTGCTGTAAGAGAAGTGTTGACTTTGAAGCCAGGTCTATCCCCAGAACCCAAGTGGTGAATATAAGCATTAGCCCACTGACTTCTACCCATCCAGGTAATGTCTGCTTTTGACTTTAAAAAATGTTGCTAGAACTACAGCTTTTTTTTTTTTTTTTTTTTAATGGAAATGGGGTTTAGGTCTCAAAGAAGAAGCATGAAGCTGATCACAATAGACCAGAGGCTGTTTTTAGCACGTCCCAGCCATAGCAGGAGGAGAGCTGAACTGGAGCATTATCTCTGCACAAGAGGGGACAGGATCAGAGCTCTCATCTGCAGCCCAGATGATAAAAGAGATCTTGCCTGACATGCGGAGGAAAGGTGGGATTTTTTTTCCCTTTCCTGAATAAAGTGGCTTTCCGGTACCACAAAACATTCTGCTATTCACTAACCCCGTCCATCCCAGGAGGCCCCAAGTCACACATAACCTTTGTGTTTCATGGCACTTCTCTCTCTCAAGCCCAGGGTTGGCTAAGTTCAGGTCTGGTTTTAGCCCTCAAGCATTGCAAACCAGCATCATCTTCCATACAAAGTTAGCTCTAGTTTTATCTGTAGTCAGAGAGTTTGAACAGGTTTTCCTGGGTCTATAGGTTTTTGGTGTCTCTGTATGGGAGTACTTTTGCCTGGTTGTACCAATGGTGCAGAGAAGTCCTGATGGCTTTTGTTCTATCTGCCAGCCTTTACACTGGCCATGAGAGACTGGAAACTCAGTCAAGGTCAAGCGGATGCTTGCATTTGTTGTCAGGTGAACATGGCCCAAACCTGCGAGACATTTTGATCACAGGAATCTCATTAAAAATACACACCCCCCCTCAGTATTGAACACCCAGGGCATTACCTTGTATGCTCATCTGCTTGCACCACACCAATTCATGCTCTGCTCTAGGCTGCCAAATTTCTCACTGTTGTGGTTTGGGCCTGGTTGTCAAAGGAACATGTAAATGGATAAAGCTTAAGTATAATGAGTTTAATATTCACATTCTTTCTGCCTGCACTTGTGACACTCAGCCTGGGACATTTGGGGCATAAGAAGTTCTTCTATTTGAAAAGCCTGGTCTTCTTCGATATCTCTAAGCAGAACGTATACATTTACATGAACAGAAATGTGTGCCTTTGTGCTTGGTCTCTTAGATACAAGCACTCTCTCTGGGCTGGCTGTAAGGGGAAGGCCCATGCTCACAGCTAAGGCTCTGAACTTCCTTATCTATCAGTATTTTTTTACACGTGCCAAAACCAAGCATAGAAGATTCAAGGTTCCCCTGGTACACCTACTTCCTGTTGCCAAAAGAGATGCACAAGCTGCCAAGGAAGAGGAGTTGCTCTCCAATAACTGTGCTTGGTGCCAAAAATATGTGACACAAAATACATAGTCATAACAGCTGTAGGTGATCCAGTGCACTGATCGGGAATAATAAACACAGGACGCATAACCAGGGCAAAAAAGAAAACTATTTAATAAAGGAGTATGACACATTACTGGCAATGGCAGCCTGGGTTTGTTTCTGATGAAGATTAAGAGAACGGGCATAACAGGAAATTGTTTTCTGCTACAAAGGGAAATCAATTGTCTTTAAATACGCAGCAGTGTAATTATCAAATCTTGCTAATTGCTGCAGAACAGAAATACAAGTGTGTGTTGCTGCGCTGGCTAAGCCAAGAAAGTATTGTGAAAAAATTGTAGAAGCTTTTAGAAACGAATATTTTTCTTAAGTACGTCTCCATCCCTGGAGATACATGTGGCTGGATGAAATAGCAAGGGTGCAATAAAAATATATACTTCCCAATTTTCCCATGTGAAACAGCATTTAAAAACATCTGTTAGTCAGAGAGCTTCTCCTAGGACATGCACGGAAGAATGGGGTGGATGCACTGACTGCATCTGGCAAGTCCTCTCGAAGTCCACCAAGCCACGTGAGGCCAGTGATTGATGGCAGGATGTCGTCTGACCTGCGGAGTGCTTCCAGCCCAGGATTACTAAAGGCCACGTATGTTCGTTAAATGGGTCATGGTGCTGTTTGTGTTAATGCACTGATAAAGAGGCAGGGAAATGGAGCTGGAAAATTCTCCAGGCAAGTTCTTGTCCTGATAAAAGGCTCTTTTTAGTAGAAAACAGAGAAAACAAACTATTCCATATTCTTTTGAGCAGGAGTAGGAAAACGACCAAAGCCGCCTACGTTATGTTGGTGCAACTCTGCAGCCACCGAAAGCAAGTGTTTGGCCCGATGGAGTGACAGCAAGGGGAGATGGGGGTCTCCACCACTGCTGATGGCGCCTGGAGAAACTGAAGAGAGGAAGGCAAAGGGTGTTTGTCCTCTGCCCCAGAGCAGCCGCCGAGCACTTGGGACCTGGCTCTGCTCTGCCTCAAGGAGACCAAACCACTGCAGCTCAGGGATTCACAGCCTTTTCTCTCTCTGCCGGGCTCCTGTTTGGGATCTCAGTGATTCCCCATGGCTCCTCTCACCTCCCCCAGGTGTGCTCTGCTAGGTAACCCTTCCCTGCCTCAGTTTACCCACCTGTGAGCAGGGCCCGCAGCATCCCCACTGAACAGGTGCAGTTATTTAAGGAACATGACCCTGAGATCCTTTCTGTGAAGCGCCCATACCCCTCCAGAAAGGCAGTTTGGAAAGCTGTCCCAGTGCTGCTCTGGCCCTTCCGTGCCCTTAGTGTTAATTAAATGACTCTTAGTGTAATTCCCTGCAGAGATTGTGCCCTGTGGTGAGCAGTCATACTGCAACAGAAGGAAAACATACATACAAGTCTGGACCCGTCTCTGCCCTGCCCTGAGGACAGGGGATGCACAAACACGGGCAGCAGGCCGGGCAGGCCTCCTGGAGGAATGCAGAGGTGCCTGGGGCAGCAGTGGGGAGGAACTACGTCTCCCAACCCAGCCCTGCCGCCTTCCTGCAAACTTTTTGGAAAGCAGAGGTTTGCCCTCTCCGCCTCCACGGCGTCCCTTTCAGCAGCCTGGGCCGCCGCTTGAGCCGGGCTCTCCCACCTGCAGCCACCCCAGGGCTCACTTCCCGCAGCCGCCGCGCTCCATCTGCCACCCTTTTATTTCCCCTACAGCCTCGTGCATCATCCTGGTACAAAGATAAATCGCACGCTTAATTGGAAACCTCTTTAGAAAACCGGAGGGAGCGGGCTGTTCATCATTTCCCCATGCGATTCACAGTCGAGAGCTGAGGGATGCTGCGGCACTGCCTTGCAAGAGATGAGAGATGCCTTTGCTCCTGCAAGAACCAAGCCAGGCTCCAGCCTGGAAATACTTCTGCCTTATAAATTGTTCGCTCTGTTTATATTCTACCACTGAAGCTTTTATTACTTTCCTGCTAAAAGACAGCAGAGCATATATCTCGGGGCACTGCAGTGGCGTGTGTAGTCCAGTCTCCTTCGGGCAATGACCTGCCTGGGACAGCTACAGCCCCAGGTGAGGCACAGGCACCGGGGGTTAGACCTGGAGATGTCCACAAAGAAACTGGTATGCTGCCAGCTGCCGGTGCCTTGCGCCAGTTTGGTTGCAAATAGATAGCATGAGTATACGATAGTTGCTTTTGGAGAGAGATCTAGCTGTAAATTGTCACCCAGACTCCTCCTAATCATCTTTTTCCATAAACTATATGGCCTGGCGCTGTTGCTGTGCTTCAAAATCTGAGGGCGTTTTCTCCCAGACAGAAAAATGATCGGGGACGGGGGTGGGGGAGTGGATTTCTCCACGTTTTCCCCATCTCTCTGCAACGTGAGCTCAGAGCCAAATGTGGCAGCAAGAAATAAAGACAGATGATCCCCTCCCTGTTCTCATTCGCGACTTCCCTGTTTACCCGGGCAGGCAGCGGTTTGCCCCAGCCTGCCAGTGGCTGTGGCACCTCACCGGCCCCGGAGGGCTGTGCCACCCTGGCACAAGGCTGCGGTGATGTGCCTGGCATTCCCACCGATTTGGGGCCAAAACTGGGGAGCATCGCTCAGGTCTGCTTCTCCCCAGATTGCTGCCTCCTTCCGCCCCATGGGCAGCTGCGATTGCCACGTGGAGTGGGGCTGGGTTACAAGCTGTCAGCATTATTTTGCATGAGTGAATGCAGCGTGTACGCCATGACCACAGGAACAAAAACAGATTAAAAGAGCAATGTTTTTTTTTGATTCCAGGCATAGGGTTTAGAATAAGTTAATTCCAACTGCCACATAGATTTTAGTCCTGTGCTACGACAGCAGTCGAAGACCCCTTAATTTCTTAATAGGCATGGGCTGTAAAACTCACAGGAACTATAAAAATGTGAGACCGTATCTAATCGCGGCAGAAGGGTCTGCAAGTCAGTGTAGTATTACATCTCCAGTCTAGTAGAAAGTTCAAGTTAATCATCTGCCCGCTTGGGAATACCCTTAGCCCAAGTCTCACAGGAAGAATAAATCCAAGCACGAAACTTCAAAGGTATTTTGCTGCCTAACGTTCACTGAAAGCATTGCGAATTAAACACTAAAATGCCTTTGAATCGCTTGGCTGCGATTCCCCTTCGAAGGCACTTGCCATCAAAGTGTCTGCTCATGCGTGCGGAGCCTGGAAGGAAGCCAAGCCCAGCGTGACAGTTCTCTATCCGAAGGGCTTCAGCAGCCTTTTCCATGTTGTCTGCGCGAGCATTGTTCTGCAGACAGCTGATTTGATCCTTTGGCATAGGAAGGAAATGTACTTTACATAGCTGGTGAAGGTCAGCAGCATCCAGAGCGGCCATTTGGCAAGAAGGTTGCTTCCCCCACACACACCGCCCCAAGGTGGTGAGCTCCTGCAGGTCCAACTGTAAAATTACTTACAGATGTTAGATAAAAAGTAATGACAGAAAATGTATGCATGACACTTAAAAAAGAAAGAAAAAAAACATGATCTGAGGGAAGTTACAGATTCTTCCTTGGTTTGTTCGTTGAAAGCTGAAAATAGACGTCTGTTCTGAAATACTTGTGTTCTGCCAAAGGGTTTTGGTTTCCTAGAGGTCTGAAGAGCGTCATCTCAGTGTGTTTGAAGAAAAAAAAACCAAAAGACAGTGGCTGAGTCTCTGATATGCTGGATAGGAGCATGCCTTCCCTTGATTAACATTACATCCTTTGGTGAGGAGAAAGGAAGAAGAGAGCGCTGTGTGATTTTCTTTTCAATTGCTCTTTGTCTGCTGATGTCACAGATTCATCTCACGAGTAGAGCAGTGGTGAGGTTTGCGCTCCCATCCTTAGCTACCTGCTGTTCTGGTTCCTTTCTGTCATTCTCTCGGGCCATATGAATATGGACTCAAGCAATCCGTTGTTAAGTACCAACTCTGTTGCTTATCGTTTTAACATTGGACACTCCCCATTTCAAATGATAGCAGTCATACTGAAAACATCTCAAGTAACCTGGTCTCCAAAAGCATCCTGAAGCTGGCGAGGAGGAGGAAGCATCCCATGCCTTGGCCACTTGCTGAGATTCTCCTCATTGGCCCAGGGCGTTGCCAAAACCTGCCCTGCACTAGCCCTTCCTGAGAATGCTCTTCAGACGTTGGAATCCAGTGTTGACTTTCACTTCCCCAGCTGAGCTTAACATCGGAGTCAACAGTTTCGGTCAAGTCCTTCAAAAGAGATAGTCACCCTTGCTCTCAGTAACTGGTGGCCTGAGCCTACACCTGCCTGGCACGAAGCAGCTGCTGGGGGCCACTGTGGCCTCCCCCAGACACGAAATGGGGCAAGCCTTTTCCACTCCAGCCAAAAGGGCCCTGGCACAGGCGGGGGCTTGCTGTGCTTTGCACAACGGACATCCCGGCGCAAGCTAAACCCTCCTGAACTGCTGGGGCTTGTGCAAAGCGAGGTTTAGCCCCCAGGCACCCAGCTTCTCCCAAAGTGAAACAGGGCTTGTGGGGTTCAGCCTGAGGAAGCTGTGGCACCCCTCCTTCCCTCACCCCCATGGCAGAGGGATGCTTGGCAAGGTTTGATAGGTGGGATTGCTTGATAGATGGCATGTTTTCCCGGTACTGTGTGAAGGCTTCAGCATTATCGATCCCTTAAAAACTTGGCAGGCCATGGTTAGTGGCAGCATGTGCTGGGCTCCTCCTTCCCTGGCTCCTGGGGACCAGGGGAGCTCCATTTCTGTGCTTTGCCCTGCGCTGGGATTCCCACTTGCCTGCCTTCCCTAGAAACCATAAAACTACGTATCTAACCCTGTGCTATGGCTGAGCTAACTTCTGCGAGTCCAAAGTTTATCAGTTCAAGCTCAAGCCTAAGGCTACTGCTGCAGGGATGAGCCTTGCGGTCCTGCTTGGAGCCTCTTTGGGGGTTCCAAACCAACTTGGAGGTTGCTTTGAGAGAGGACAGGCACCTTTTTCAGGGGCTCACAGTACCGTGATTTTTAAGCACATCAGGCCAAAACTCACTGGGAGAGTCAGGCTATTTTAGATCTGGCCTCAGTTGCTCAGCAGTGCTACTGGTAAAGGAACTGGTCAAAGAGGGGAAGGGATTTTTTTGGTTTCTGACACATTTTGGTTACAGCCCAATTCACAATTATTAAAGGCAGCAAATTTCCACGTTCCTTAACACCTGGCCCTACCTCCTGGAGCCTGAGGGAGAATTAAAACAAGTCCTGGGAACACAGGACATGTGCCTGAGCCTGTAGGATCAACAGCACCAGGCGATTTACTCAGAGATACCACAGCTCCCTACAAGCCGTCCTCTCCCCTGAGCCTGGCAGTGATCCTGTCACAGCCCCCCACCTCCAGGGCACCCCCAGCTGGGTTTTGCCATGGAAATTTCACAGCTGGGCCGTGCTGACGGAGGAGAGAGGCTGGGACACAAAGTATAGAATCACAAGGGTAAGTCTTTATTCACGCGCAGTGAGGCGTCCCGTTCGCACTGGGGCACCCCGAACGGTTTCACACACAGTTCTTACACCTTTCAGGTGTTCAGGTACAACGCGACTTGCCCAGTCGCTACGTAGCACACACGTGCCACCTCCCCAAAGCAACTATAACTTGATGATGTCATCATCCATCTGCTGCTTTCTTGATCTAAATGTCCCTGGGGTTGGTCTTGCTGCGGTTACCTGTCTATGATGCTGGATAGTGGCGGGGGGGGGGGGGCGGAGGGGGTGCTCAAAAAGGTGTTGGAGGGGCTGGGGTGCTGAGGTTATCTTGGGCATCCAGGGGTACCCTTCATTATTCGGGGTGGGGGGTGGCTGTGCTCCTTGCAATGAGCTGGGGTCCTTTAGTCAGACTCCCTGAAGCATAACTACGCAGCAAAGAGCGTAAAGTGTATCTATATTAAGAAAATTCATACGATTTCCTAAAGACTAATTGATAAAATGGTTACAGAACAAGTTTTTCATGGCAGCGCGGGGGGCCGCTTTTTTTTTTTCACGAGGGTTGAGCCGCGACTTTTCACAAGGTGATTTTCCCGGGGGATTTCAGGGCCGGTACACCCATCCTTGCAGGGGAACGTGGGGAGAAAAGGCGCGTTATCGGGAAAAACAAACAAATAAAACAAAATTCCTCCTTGCTTCGTCCGGGGGACTGTCGGGACCGCGCGCGCCCCTTCCCAAAGCGTCACCCGCCCGCCGCCGTTGCGCGATGCAGCGCGCTCCTTGCGCGCGCTACGTCTGTGGGCCCGTACGTGACGTTTTCGCGCCGCTGGCACACGCAACACCCACGGCCCCGTGACGAGCGGGAGCTGCGCGGGGGCGTGGCTGAGGGCGTGGCCAGGAGGCGGGGGGGACGGGGGGGAGCTCCCCGGCCACGCCCCCGGTCGCGCCCCCAGTCACGCCCCCGCCGGGGACGGGCGCGGCGGGAGTGAGACGGCGCGGCGGGACGGCGGGATCGGTGCGGCCGGCAGCGCCCTGAGCCCGGCGGGAAGGAGGAGGAGGAGGAGGGGGAGGAAGGCGGGGGTCACCCCGCTAAACCGGGCGGGATGGATAAGTACGACGATCTAGGTCTGGAAGCCAGCAAGTTCATCGAAGACCTCAACATGTACGAGGCCTCCAAGGACGGGCTCTTTCGGGTGGACAAAGCTGTCGGCAACAACCCCGAGTTCGAGGAGACCCGGCGGGTCTTCGCCACCAAAATGGCCAAGATCCACCTCCAGCAGCAGCAGCAGCAACAGCAGGAGGAGATGCTGATGGCCGCCCTGAACGGAGGGGCTGCCTTCAACGCCCCCCGGCCCAGCCCGCCGGTGGCACGGGGTGCCAAACCGCCCCCGGCCTCTGCTGCTGAGGGGCCGCGCGCGAGGCCGTACGAGGGAGGGGAGCGAGGCTTTGGCGAGAGCGGGGCACGTGCCCAGGCCCCGGGGAGCCAGGCTGGGCGCCGGAGCTGGGAAGCGGAACCCGACAGGATTCCCAGAGCGGGGAGCTCACGGCCCGGCGCGGGGCACGGGGAGCAGCAATCCGGGAGCCCCGGTGACCCCCAGCCCTGCCGTGGCCGGCAGGAGAACGGCAGCGAGGGCAGGCGGGGTGGTGGGGGCCATGACCTGACACCAGCAGGGCAGAGGTCCTCCTCCTTCTCGCATGCCCGGACCCCCCCAGCACCCTCAGCAGGGACAGAGGAGGGGGCACCCGGGGCCCTGCCGCAGCAGAGGTCCTCCTCCTTCTCGGCCCCCTCGCTGCAGCCCGCTCGGGGGTCTTCGGGTCCTGCTGAGCCCTGCGGACCCAGGGCCGGAGGAGACAGCAACCAGCTGTGGTACCAGGGGGTCCTGCTGTCCTTCCCCCCCAGCTCCGCTCCTGCCGCCCCGAGCGTGGACGGCCAGCATGCCGCTGCCTACCCCAGCCCAGCCGGCCACTTCGTGGCCCACGGTCAAAACCACCGGCCCAACGGCAGCAGCGCGAACCCCGAGCCGGGCTCCTCACGCCTGGCCTTGTGCGGGCTGACGGCTCCGGATGCTCCCCAGCAGCTTTTCCCAGAGGGCGTGAGCGGCCCGCGGTCGGATGCTGGCCACCCGGAGGGCTCCAGCACGGCGAAGGTGAAGCTGCCCTGCCAGACCCTCCTTCCACAGCCTGAGCAAGGGCCGTCGGCGGCCGAGCTGAAGCTGGAGGCACTGACCCAGCGCCTGGAGCAGGAGATGGATGCTCGACCGAAGGCCGATTACTTTGGTAAGGAGGCGGTCTGCCAGTCGGCGTGAAAAGGGTTCGTTGCAAAGTGTCGCTGCAGGGTTCGCACCTGCAGGGTTGCGTTTGCACGTATGCCTGCTTGGTTATGTTTTCTCAGTTGCTCGGGGCGGGAGGGTGTTGTTATTTAACTTTTTTTTTATCACAGGGACTGGAGGTTCTTCCTCCTGTGACACTTTTTTCTTTAATCCTACCTCTTAAATTTTAAAGCGGAGGTGGTTTAGCAGCTTTGGGGAGGACAGCGCTGAGAAGAAGCTGGAGCGGCGTCTTTTGAAGTGCCCTTCATTGCTGGCAGGGAGGCATGGCACTTTGCTTGACAGTACTCCTGGTTCTCCATGCCTTAAAAGTACGCTGCCCGGCCACGTGTTGGGGGGGAGGCAGCCCTCAAGCCTGCGGAGGAGTTGTGCCTGTGTACGCTGCGGGCAGGGAGAAGGGCACAGAGCTCAGGGGAGGCCTCCTGGTACCCCCGCATGGAGGTGGCCATGGCCGGGCGTGCTTGTGGGATCTCTTGAAGAGGAATGGCTTAGGGGTGGGAAGGGCGGTGGTTTCCCAGTCCTGCCAGGATTTCCCCTCGCCCCCAGGTGCTGGTCCACATCAGCTGTGAAAGGATCAGTGCACCCTGAAGACAGCAGAAAAGCAGGTGGTAGGCACATTCCTCCCTAAATCTCAGGTCTGTGAGCAGTCCAGACCACCACCAGAGGTTATTGCTGGCATGTGGGAGTGAAAAGGGACCGCTTATGTGCAAGGATCTCCCAACGAGAATATTGATTGTCCTGCTGGATTGAACCATTTTATTACCTCAGGATGGCAGAAGGTCAGGGGCAAATTGAGCATTTCCTGTCCCTGCCATGCCACTTCGCACTTTAATAGCAGATAAGAGAGTTCAGCTTTTGGGAGAAGGAAACCCAAAGTTGCTGGGAAGGCGGAGAACTCTGTGGTTAGTTTAACAAATGATGGGAGCAGGTCTAGTGTGTGAATTTGCCTCCCGATTTTAGACCCACAGTCACAGAAGTAGAACCAGGGACAGATTAAACTCTCCAGCCTGGTGGAGAGGAAGGATTTGCATCTCAAGGCTTCACAGATGCTGTTGCAGGGGGTCCTGTCCGGTGGGGTCGGTGGGTGGCTCGGCGGTGATCTGTGTGCAGGGGAGCAGCCATGGGCTTCACGCCAAACTTCAGGGACATAGCTGGAGGGGCCATGGAGTGCTCAGTTGCAAATTGCGTAACAGAATGTGTTTCTTGGCATCAGGCAGTGGTACTTGCCCACAGAGGGCTGTGCAGGGATTGTTTATCTTCGTATCTGAGACTGGATTCAGCCTTGTGGCAGGGCAGACACGTTTTTATTCTGTCGCAGAAAAGTGATGTGTTGAGTTGCTGTGCTTGGAGTGTTCTGGCCTGGAAACATGTTTTGGCGCTTTCTGTCCTGTGTGGGCAGCTCCTGGTTTAAATGAGCTCAGGGAGCCTTGTTGGGGGGGGGGGGGGGGGGGGGGGGGCGCTGACTGTGACAAGGAGCTGATAATGAAGATGGGGTTGGGACATCAGTCTCCTGGGAGGCAGTGCTCAAAAATGGGAATATTTTGCTGGAGGCAGCATTCAGCTCCACTGGAGAGGTGACGAGGGTCTCTTCAGCAGACCCTGTTGCATGCATATTCTCCTGACAGTGCAAATAAACCAGCTGGGTCATACCTCATCCAAAATGTGCATGGGATGGGGTGAGAAAGCAGAGGGACCTAGTTGGTGGTGAGACTGGTTTTAGGTTTTTGTCACAAAATAGGGTGTAGTGCCAGGGAGAGGCTTTCATCGTGCAGGAAACTGGTAGTGAAGCAGGAGTAGTTCTGGCAGCACGGAGGGTCCTGCTGGTTGGGCTGCTGAGTTACTGGTGAGCCCTGGTGAGGGAGGAGATACGGAGGCTGCCTGGTCCTCAGTGTGGGCTTTTGACCTCCTCCTGGCAGGAGGTTTTACACCAGGGTGTCGTGTCTGAGAAATTTGGGAAGCAGGAGAGAGAGAGAGGGGGAAAAACAAAACGGTGCAGTCATGGCAGAGGAAGAGGTAAAGTTTTGTGGATCCTCAGCTCTGCGGAGGAAGGCTTAGCAGATCTACCCTGTGTAGGACCAAGGGTCAGGAAGGGGCAAGTACTGAGGTATTCTAATTCTGTGCCTCCTCCCTCTTTCTTTCTCACTTTTATTTTCATTTTTTCACACTTACCTTACTTCATTTGGAGGAATAAAAGACCCAGCTGGTCTTCTGAATCTATTTTTGCTATGGCCTACCCTCAAGAGAGCAAACTTTGGGATAGAAAATAAATTATTTAATGCAGTAGTGATAAAAAGAATCAACAGTTTGTTTTGTTGAAGATTTTCCCCCAGTGAAGGGAAGTCTGATACAGCAGCTCTGCAGTATATCGGGGCCAGGAAATGAAACCAGGACTGAAGTACAAATGGCCAATGTATTTTATTTAAAATGGTTTCAGCTCTCCTAACTTTGGGTGCTGCTTCAAAAAAAAAAAAAAAAAAAAGGGATTTATTTATTTTTTTAAGACGGGTCTGTCTGTCTTGTTAACATACAGTCCTTCGGTCTGTCTCAGCCTAGACCAGATATTTATAATGAACAATCAATTCTAATCACAGTAAAGGAGCTGCTGTTGCTTTACTATGTGAAAATGAGTATTTGTGAATGAAAGCCAAGGAAAAGATAAGCTAGGGATTAGGTATAACACAGGTAGGACGCTCTTCTGAGGATTGACAGTCTGGTTATCTGTTAGCATCAGCTTGCTGTACAAAATACTTTTGTCTGCTCAGAGTATGTATAATAAGTTAAAAGAAAGAAGCAGACAAAGGCAAGAATTTATTTATTTATTTATTTATTTATTTAAATAGTGGCCTATCTGTGAGCAGCATGGGCTGCACGTGTCTCTGGAGGAATTTGGGTTCTCCAAGAGTGCTTTTGAAGTGCTGACTTGATTTATGTGGGCTGTCGAGGAGGACGTAGGGAGACTCAGGTCTTAAGCTCGGGGAGGCAAATCCTGAAATTGTTCCCTGAAGAGGCTGATTCCCATGCAGTGGAGAAAAGGGGCTCCAGGTTCCTGGGGGGTGTTGCTGGAAGCCAGCTTAGGTTTTATTCATTTTTTTTGGTGTACTGTTTCCAGGGAATAGCCAGGAGTGAGGTGCCTGAATCCCACTGATTTTCCATGGTGTTCCTTTGGGTGCACCAGCTTTCATCTCGACTTGGCGAACGGGAAGATTAATTAAATGGGAGTGATAGGGGCAGTTGCAAGTCCTCCAGGAGCACCACCCAGTGCAAAGTAGGTGGTTTGGGTTAGGTGAGGCAGCACCATCCCAGGGACTGGTGCCGGATGAGTTTCAGGTGAGAGCCAGGCAGGGGCACAACCAAACTGAGCATCTGCCTGCACTGCCTGGAAGGGGCTTGGTAGGGCTGAGGCTTGGCTGAGGGGCAGCAGGGTCTGCAGGGACGTTTTACCATTTGTTTTAGCACTGTGGTGGTACCACACAGTTCCTTGGCCTATAGGCACAGGTGGGTGCTTTTAGAGATGTAATGTGTAGCATCATGTTTTCACTAGTGCTTATCTCATACAGCTTGATGGAAATCTCCATCTGATAAAGACTATCTATACCCTTAACAAAAGCTTTTTGTAAAACTATTTTTATAAATTGTTTTCTTGTTATAAATATTCATTAGGTGTTGAGTTCTGGCTTCATTATTTAGAGCAGAGCTGATGATAAGCTGCAGGTGTTTTAGGAGGGCCCCAGGCATCTTGTTTTGCAGTGAAATACTGGGATGCTTCCCAGCAGTTGGGCAGAGAAGATCTTGGAGCAAAGTCTGCAGATTTCTTTTCCCCTTGGCAGAAGTAGGGAGGTAGCTGAATCATTGAACACTGTGGGGACCTGCAACCCCAGCACCTTTGAAAGGGTATGATCAGTTCGAAGGCCAGCAGCGCTCTTTTGAAGTCTTGTGCATAGTGAAGTTACTGTTTTACCACTGCCAAAGCCACATAATTAGTTTAACTTTAAGGCTGTACACACCTGCAGACTTTACGGAACCCTGATGCTGATGGTATACCAGGATGCTTTGGCATCAACGAGGGTAATTCCAGGGCTGCCGAGTGGAGAATTTCTGGTTAAAATGAAAGTTCTTCTGAGGTTTGTTTTGTACGTGGGTGATGATAAGGGTGTCATTTCCAATGGGAATGAGCGGAGGCATTCCTTGCTGCCTGCTCCTGGGAGAGCACCACGGCTGGAAGGAGATGCCTGCCTGCAGCAGAGAGGAGGGGGAGGCAGGGCAAGGCCCGTCCTGGTGGAACAAGGAAAGCTGGAAGGATCACGGCACATGGACTAGTGGGTGTGTGCAGATTGCAGAGTTTATCTCACTGCAAGGAACCAAGCACATAAGTATTTGCCTGGGATATGGCTCTTCAAGATTACAACAGTATGCGCTTTTCCTCCCTTCCTCTTGGGAGCTCAGCTGGGTTTGCAAGCTAAGGAAAAATCTACCAAAAGGGAAGAAGAGGAAGGAGTTGAGGCAGAGGAGAAATAGATCTTTCAGCCAGGATTCTGTGGCAGTGGGAACTGAAAGGAATAAGAAGCTTTGTTCACGTGGCACTGGAGTTAACATAATCTCTGACATTGCTATAACATACTTAAAATGTTGTTGCACTTCGCTGGCAGTGTGTGTATGGCTGGTCTACAGCAAAGTTGGGGGTCAAGAACATGCCATGTAAAAACAGTACAGAAAAATTGCATTTACCAACTCTGTGGTTCTTTGGGTAGGGAGTACCTGTACATCTTTGCTACCACTGAGTGACAACCCAGTCACCCAGTGGCGAACGGGACCAAACTGCCAGGTTTTCCAGGCACTTAATCTCACATGGGCCTCCAGATCTCCTTGAAATCAACTCTCCAGCAAGAGCGATTGCTCAGTAGTGTATAACAGCATAGCGGGGCACACAGTGTGTCTAATTTGGAGTTTGAT